GTATGGAAAAATAATTCTGTGTATATATATACTTAAAATCTATGTAATTGTAGTATATTTAAAATCATAGAGTAATGTACCATATTTGTGGATGGGGACAGCTGTGAATAGGCTCATTTAGCATAGCATATCTTCCCCAAAAACATGAAATAACTAGGATTAATATTACAAAAAAACTCTAAACTGATATATTTGTGATAAATTTATCATAAACTAATTTTTTGACCATTAAAAACCCCAAATTAATACACTTGTGACAAATTTATTCTCCGTTAGTTTCCGTTAAATTTTACCGCCAAAATACTGAGTTAAATGACACATGGTAATTGACGAGTGTACCAATTTAGGGTTTTACCCCTTTATTTGTCACACGTTTACCAATTTGTGATTTTTTGTGGTATTGATCCAAATTAACGAAGGGTAAATTTGTTACAATTGTACCAGTTTAAAATTTTTGGTGGTCAGAATATTAGTTTGGGGTAAATTTATCACATGTATACCGGTTTAGAATTTTTTGTAATAAAAAAATTAGTTTAATGTAAATTTATCGTAAATGTATAAATTTAGGTTTTTTTGTAGTATTAACCCAAATAACTGTCAATGTGAGTCCTCAATATATAAGAAGTAGTATGAGGCATGATGGTCAATTATTAACTTAGTATCGAATTATCATTTGCAAATCAATCGATGTGCCGACGAATAATGATATTTGATGTGATGAGTTTTGTGAAAGTCCGCGTGTCATCCGTTCATTAAGGTTGTATCCGACAAGATGGTTTGAGTTTCGATATCAAATGCCCACATTTCATGCTCCTAAACACGATCCCTAGAGGCAACGATGATCTCGTTCCCATTCCACGGTTCCACTCTCGAAAACTAGATGGGATCTGAGGTGAAATTCATTAGGATATCACTCGCAAACAATCAAAAAGAAAAAAAAAAAAAGAAAAGAAGAACCTATATAGCTTATCCAATTAAAGGGAAAATGACTCAAATTTTCCCTAAATTTTGGCTTAATGTGCAATGTGGCCCATGAACTTTAACCAAATGAGTTACGCGGTCTCTGAATTTTTAAATTGTTCAGTGTATTATCTGAATTTTTGGCACACGTTCAATTTAGCCTTGGAGACTATATGAAAATGTTTAATATTGTCTCTGAACTTAAATTAATGAAAGAACAATATTAAATATTTTTATATAGATTAGGTACTAAATTAAGCATGTATCAAAAATTTGACGACCATATTGAACAGATTAAAAGTTCATGGATCACATCGCACATTATGATAAAGTTCAGAGATCAAATTACATGAATTAAAAGCTTAGAAATCATAAATTAAATCAAAGTTCGGAGACCATTTCTATCACTATCCCCCGATTAAATTAACCATATGGAGCTATGCCTAATTTCTAGTTGTCTCACTCCATGGCCTCACCCCAAAACAATGTGCCAACATCATATCGAGATTCGAAAAGGATTGTGAACCAGTGAAGCATCTCGACATGGAGTTGTGAATTCACATCGATCATGTTTTATCTCTTGTTTTTTGCCCCAATTTGCTATGTTATTGTCCCATGAATGCGACAAGGAACCTCATTAACCCTTACCTTTTCTTTTTCTTTCTTTTGTTTTTCTTCTTGGGTGCAAGAATAACATTTTTTTTTTATGCCCAAGGAGAAAATGGATAAAAAGGAATTAGGTGATAGATTCTTCCCCATCAAGCAATCACCTGAGGAGGAGGGGCTCAGTCCGTACAATCTGACGTGGCTAATATAGTATTTTTTTTCTTTTAACCTATGTTGTGTGTTTATTCATCATCGTTACTGAGGGTTCCAAAAAGTGCAATTGAAAATGAAGCCGAGGCGACCAAAGAATAGTCCATCCCATCAAATAATGGAGCCAGAGCAGCATATTTATTTGGTCAAAACGTAAGTCCCTCCCACCATGTTGTACCGTAACATCACTATTTAAGACGATCTTCGTAAAAAAAAGGGGAAAGAATTAATTAGAAGTTCGATTTGCAACTCGTCTTTTGATGTACGACCCAAATTCAATAACCTCGATGAGCATTACTTGGGCCTTGGAAACATAAATCCAACCTCGAAATATGTTGACGCTACTTTGAAATCATTGCGAAATGGTTATCTTCTACTTCCGTTTCCTTTGATGTTTAAGTCTGTGACGAGAGATATGGAAAATTTTTCCAAAAAGCATATACACAAAGAAGATATTGTCATCGCATTTTGATTTTCTCCGAGGGACTTTTAGAGTCAAGCGAGTAAATATTTCTTTATTTAATCAAATGACAATGAATTAATGGGCCACTTTTACATCTTTACGGACCTACAACCATCCTCTATTCCGAAACAGTGCGCGTGTCGTGCCGATTTGTGTTAGCTTAATTCATTCGAGTTAACAATCAAGAAATAAAATGTTGAGAATGCGTAGCAGAAACCAGATACCTTCGCATTGGGATATTGTCAAGAGGGAGTCCAAGTTTGAGCCCGTCAACATACCAGTTGCCTACTTTCACTCAAAAACTTAAACCAATGAGTTATATGGGTCAATTCTGATACATTAACTGCTTAACACCATATCAATTCTTTGATATGAAATTTTTTTAATACACTTCACATATGCATCCTAACAATTGCCCCATCACATGTGAATTTGTGTTAGTTCACATGTGCATCCTAACAATCTCACCCTCACGGGTGAGCTTAGTGTTAGCTTTGTTTCCTTTTAATCGAAGTATCATTTTGGATCAAGATATCTCAGCTTGAATATCCATCAACGTCTTCATCCCTACTCTCTTTATCCAAACAAAACCATCAAGTCTGCAATTATGCCTGCGTTGCTACACTACAACATCCACCTACATCCTAACATCTCCCTCTCATATATGAATTCAGTGCTATGTCTCTCTCCCTTGATCCAGATATCCTTCTGGATCAAGATATCTCAGCTTGAATATCCATCAACGCCTTCATCCCTACTCTCTTTATTCAGACAGAACCATGAATATTGATATTAGGCCCGCATTACTACGCCACAACACCAACTTGCATCCTCACAATCTCCCCTTCACGTGTAAGCTCAGTGTTTGGTTACTCCCTCTTAATCCAGCTATCCTTCTGGATTAAGATAATCTCAACTCGAATCTTATCAACGCCTTCATCCCTCCTCTCTTTATCTAGACAAAACCATGAAGTCTACCATTGGGCCCGCGTTGCTACACCATAACGCTTACTGCCAGAAACCGCATTGATCACCAGATTTCTTCCTTGAGATATTCACCAAACATCAAAATAGATTGGGAGTGGGCCACCAATCAATCATCAGCTCTAATACTATTTGTTGGGAGCGCACAACAGAAGTCCGATATCTTTTACTTTAGAAGATTGCTAAGAGGAAGCTCAAGTACAGTTCGTTTGAGGAGATCATTAAGAGGGAGCCCAAGTCCGAACTTGTCAACATATCCAATTGGACCCACCTTCACTCAAAAACTTAAGGCAATGAGTTATGGGCCAATTATGATATATTAATTATTCAATACCACACTAGTTCTCCGATGTAAGATTTCTGTAACACAACTCATACGTGCATTCTAATAGAAAATTTATGTTAAGCTTATTTTGATCATAAGTTAGAGACTCCGTGAAAGAGTGCCCACCACCATCTAGGCTGGTTTGGGCAAATTTTTTGGTCATTGAGCTGATCTTGAATGTCATAAGGATTAAGTTGGACACTTGGAGAGCTAACCAAGATTGTTGTCCTCATTATTTTTTTGCTTGTTCGATGTCAAGGACCAATTCTCGAGTAGAATCGGCGTATAACATGGTAGGTACATGTTGTAGTCACGTCTATATTTCCATGGTCACTTGATATTTACTGTAATTGTTATGTATTTTATGATATAATCTACCAAATTTCATAATAACATGGCAGGTACCTGTTGTACATATCTCGCCGCAGTTAGTTAAATATAGCAAACTATTCCTATCCCGCTTCAAGTTAGGTTTGCTGCATCCGCCACTCCAAAAAAAAAAAGGCATTATTGACAAAGGATAAAAATTGAAAACATTGAAATGAGATAAAACAACGCAAAAAACCAAAAGAAAAGGATAAACAAGCCAAAAGAGATAAACAAGTTTAGATGGACTCAAGAGAACTAAAAGATAGAGCAACCATTTTATATTAATTTGATTGTGTTTTCCTAGGAGGGATCCTCCAACCACATTTTTTGATCGGTGAGTTATAAGTTATAGACATCATCTATATTTATACTTAATCAATTTCGGTGTTTGTGATATCTATAACTTATAATTCCTCAATGCTGGAAGAAACTCTCTCTCCAATTGGAGACGGAGAACAATATAGTTATTTTCTATCCATCGCCTTAAATTTTATCATCTACTAGCGACGTCAAGTGTCCACAACTTATTGTGAGTTTTGAAAAGAAAAAGAAAAAAATTATTACGGGTCATAAAATTCATGCATTTTTGTGATTATGAACATATACAATTCAAACATACCTCGTGTGCAAACATTTTCATAAATATTCTCAGAATGTAGACATGTCCATCCCATCTATCAATCAATGCAATTTAAGCGTAACGACAATTCTTATTTTCTTTAAAATGACATCATCTCACACGGGATATATTATACTTGAATGGATATGCCCTAATGATGCCATGATGCACATAACTCTTTTGTTCACGTGCACACGATGAGATTCCATTTTGAAATTAACCGGTGTGCTCCTTAGGTCACTATTGTTTTCGGTGGGATTTTACGTCAGGCGCGCGCCCTCTCAGACCAAAAGCATGACCACTGAGAGCTAATTCGGATTAATTAAAACTGAAAAAGGTTGATTAGATTAGGCAGATTGACCCCAGGGATAAAACTAGGGTTTATCAGTGGATTTCAGATTTTTTTTCTCCCCTTAATTTGCGGTCCCATTTGTGCCAAAACATACAGCGAAGCTCCTGTCAATCACAGACCACAGCTCTAAGAAACTTAGAGAGCTCCAGCACACCATGATCCTCCAAAAAAAACCCCCAAGAAAGAAAACCAAGAAGAGTTGGTGCATCAGTTTGGTATATTCATCACATGAAAAGCGAGTCACTGTGCATATATAGTCATCCATCATCTCCACAGGAAGCAATCATATCTACTGTTGTTTTAAGTTCCTTTGATCTCTCTCTCTCTCTCTTCTCTCTCTCTCTCCAGATCTCAACCTTGCGGGATCTTGCCTTTCTGTTTCATCTCCTTCATCTGCTTCTTCTTCCTCCCCTTAGTCTCTGAAATTGATTCTCAAGAAGTTTCAAGCTTTTTTTTTAAGCTCACCGTCTTTCTCTTCTTGATTCGCTTCTTTTTCTTTCTTTTCCCTTTTGGCCCCCAATTCTAGATCAACTGCGAGCACTACTTCTGATTAACACTTGAACAATCCTGAAGTTTTTTTTCTCTTTGTGGCCAGAAACTGAGCAAAGCTAACCTTTTTAGTTTCCTTTTTCCTTACCTTTTTATCTTTTTTTGACCTGATGATCTGTGAACTCTGGGAAGCTGCCCAATCCTGATGCAGCTTGTCGATGCTGTGTGTATTCGTTCTCTAACGTTGAAATCTGCACGACCCAACTCTTTCTTTCTCGCTTAGATTCTTCTCCTCGAATTTCTAAAAGAAAGCCAAAGTGTCGATTTTTCTTTTAGCAAACGGGTCTAAGGAGAAATGGGGTTCATATTCTTTTCTCTTCTCTTCTTGTCCTACCTATTTGCAAATAACTGGTTTCGATACATTTTAATGGAGCATCCGGGGGTGCTTATGGATCGACAGTCGTTGTTTGCGGGTGTAGCATCATCAAGATTCACATATAGTTTTTGCATCTTCCTCTCGGGGTAAGATTACTAAAGGTTTTACTTGAATTCATGATTAAATCGTGGGCAAGTGCAAAAGAAAGGTTCCTTGGAAGTGTGAGAATCTTGATGATGCTGCATCGGCAATAAAACGACTCTTGCAAAGTACAACACGAAGCACTCGCTCTCTCTCACGCCTCCCCATTTCCCATTTAAAGCCTTAACGAGGAGATACTAACACTTCCCTTTTTGCATCAGTACCATCTATATATTTAAATACTCATAAAAAATCACGGTATGGATCTATTTGCACTCCGCTAATTTTTTTTCTACTGTTTGGTCTATACTTGGAGGAAGAAACCCTAAAGATTCTATAGGCCTTTTTATGGAGCAACTTGGGGCTATTCTCTGACATTTGCAAGATTTATTTTTGCTCTTCTGAGTAAAAAGAAGAGCTTTCAGTTGGAAAATGGTAACTTCTTCAACAGTTTTCTATAACTTTTTCATTATAATTGTCTTTTAGATCTTGAAAGTGTCCCTGACTAGTAGTTTCTTGAAATGAATGCAGAAAGCACAGTTTTTTCTGCAACTGAAGGGAGAAAATGCGTTGTGATGTGTGTGGCATTGTGATTCAGGTGATTTTTCCGGATTAATTTATAAAATGCATTACTTTCAAGGGCCATTCTTCTATCCTTTATTGATATTGGTTTTTGTTACAAATTACTAATTTCTAGGCAGTCCCATTGTTGAAGAGGCTGATCCAAAAGCTGGGAAGAGAGGTGATTTGAATACAGCTTTTTGATTGGGGACTTCTGGAATGAGCTGAAAATGGGGAAGTTCAACGGAAGTTTGCTTTGTGATCTCTCTACATCACGCCTTTGTGTAGGGTAAGTACCACTTTCAACACATGTGAACCTATTAGCAGTGCCTTCTATTAATAATTGGTACAAATATTCGCCCCTAATGAGCAGGGTTGATCGCGTAAAACACCTGCCTTCCAAATGGAAGTTGTCGCTTAGACGAAATTAGTGAAATGTGCATGTTGGTCAATAGACGAACTTTTATAAAAATGGAGGAATCGCAAGGTGAACCTAATTAGAAGAAAAAGAATCCTCGATGTAGTTTTTCATTTGGGCCAAAGGTTAACCTTGATGTATTTTTAGGGGTATGTATATGGAAGGTGTATAGTTCTATATATGGACCATATACAGGCGAATCAAGTGGGGAAAAGAATGTCCTGTTGCCGTTGACAACACTGTTTTTTGCTTGGCCTTAGCAATATTCATCATCCGTCACTCTCTTAAGTGGACCAACCCACAAATTGGGCATCTCAACACACATGGACCCTCATTGACATGCTCAGTTCAGACCTCAGTTCCACCTATTTTTGCCTCTCCACAATAATAGTACTCAAAGCAATTAAAGTTCTTTCCCAATGTCTTTATTTGTTCAGAGTCGTCCTATTGTGACAATGATGACACGTTTGAGTTGAAGAGATCTTGAGTATCTGTGTGGCTCCATCGTTATCCAATTCCCATTTCAAGTTGCAGAGTATAATCCGCATCACACTCTCAAGATTTGAGCTTTTAAAGAACCCAGCTTTACCATGACAAGTTTGTCTACTTTTATGAGGTCTTGAGTTTGTAATATTCTGTCACAGACGTCTTTTGGATCCACAAGCTTCAGACTCTTGTCTTCCGACTAGAAGCATACAAATGCCATTGGTGAAATCAGTCGGCAATTCAATTGTTACGCTGCTGACTTAAGGCCCTAAAAGTAAGGGAGAAACTTCAAATTTTCGGACATTTTCTCCCAAGCCTCTAATCTTCCCCATCCCCTTCTTTGAAAACAAAGCCTTAAGGCATATTAGGTAGTTTCTCTTTCAATTGGTTGGACTGCAGCCAGCGCCCGTGATCTAGTAATTAATGGACGAGTATTTACATAGTTATCATGTAATGGTGTGCATAATCTATATGGTTTCCTTGAATATACGTTCTTATCTACGGTTAGATATTGCCTGTTTGGCTTTATTAGTAGGAATACCACAAATATAGGCAAATGATTTGGTAGCTGGGTGTTACTTGCATATTCGGGTTGGTCTGCCAAATTGATGAATGAAGTACTTGATTGTAATTTAATGCATACATGGTTACACAGGTGTATATAATTTGAACCCACCTGATCAAGAAAAGATCAAAAGCAGAAATTCGTTGAATTGTTTCTTATACTACTGTTGGACGAATTCTTTTCTTTAAGAGCCAAAGACTTATATTGTGTGAAGATTCAAGAAACATGTTCACATTACATATACATAGCATACACAAAATATCAACATAACTGCATCAAATAGACGATGGGAGACAGAAAAACAAACAAAATGACGAGAATAACAATCAAAAAAGAGTATGAGACGAAGGGTGTTGGGATTCGATCTCAGGTTTTGTGGTCTGTAGCTATGTTAGACAGACAGTTTTGCCTAAAAGTTATTCAAAGCTATGAAGTAATGAGTCCACAATGTGTATATGACAGTTTTTTCACACTAGTCTATACTAGGACTGTTTCTCGATGTCCAGTGCTTCTCTTTTCTTGCCTTATCTATCTATATCTTTCATTCTGCGAACTTTGGGATCATCATCCATCACAAGTTTTTGACTTGATATGAGGTAGAATTTTCTTGATTTGAGTAAAGGTGACATTCTCATCTTAAGAGCTTGCATGAGAAGGGTCATTTTCTGTGAATATTATTTCTGATGGTAAGTGAAGAATAGAAGCCGGTGTTTGATAGAGGTCCTCATGTGATTCTACATTCCTAAAAGTTCGTATGCAGAAGTAATATGATCGAGCTGGGCATCAATCATTCCCTCACCGGCTTCTTATATAGTTGAAGCTCTCTCCAATTCTTCAGTCAACTTGGCCGGTTTTGGCAATGATTCTGCAACTCGTGGGAAAATAATAGCCACGATCGATCGTTGTGTTGTGGTCAACATACATTGTTGAAACTCCTTGTATGCATTTTACATGCTAATTTCTGTAAAGTTACTTAAGAATATCAAATAAAAATGTCCTAGAAACGAGAAATGCATATCATATCGATCTTACTTGTCAATATTGCATTCTCCTGTAAGATGACGGTCCTCACATTAGACATGTCCTTGTTAATTCGTGCCTATAAGGATGAAGAGTTTTGATAATTTCCTTAATATCTAGAGGATCTCTTGCTTTTGAGAAACATCATATGACCCTCTTAGTTATCATAACACATAATAGTAATAATTTCATCTAACATCGAACTAATTGATGCACGGGTTGTTCCTACTGGATTCGTGTACTTCCTTGTAAAGAATGAGAATGCGAACCTCTTGCTAGTTTTATATGTACTTATCAAACATGGATCCCTCTGTCCCTATGGTGCCTTCCCTTGGGGTCTCCAAAAATCTCAAGCAGTGATCTGTGAGTTGAAATTTATTGAGGTATTAAGGGAAGTGCAGCATCCGCGATAGAGGATCTTCTCCCATATTTACAAGTAGGAATCTTCTCGCGCCTCCTATATGGTTGTGATCGCATGATCCTCATGAGTATCTGATTGCAAGATAAAACCATCCCATTATGTTGGTCAAAGTGTTTATCTTGAAGGAAAAACCTATTTCTTTTTCAGGATCGATTGTGGTATGGTAAAGGCTACTCTCACATACGATGCAAGATTATTAGCAAGAGGAGGTTATCAAAGGAAAAAGGTAAAGAACTAGGTCAAGTTTAGCGTGAAATAATGATATAAGTAGCAATATTTAGTCTCTCTCTCACTCTCACACACACACCTTATTTCTTATATTTTTTTTGTTTATCTTGTGCACCAAAAATAACTATTTAACATAGTGCAGTCGACGTGGCCATATTTCTTCCTCTGGCATGGGAACCAAGCTGGTTGGCATTCATAAACTAGATGCTTCAGAGAAGGTACAATCTCAGTTGGGTGATGACTTTAACAGATGTAAGACTACTCTCTCTCTCTCTCTCTCTCTCTCTCTTGTTTCTATGTTTAGTTCATGTACTGATTTTGTAGTTGAAATTGAAATTTTAGAGAGAAAGTTTGATGGTCCCCCGAGGGTTAAATAATAATGGTGGTCCAGGTCCAGGTCCAGAAGAGGGTGTACGAAAGGAGACATTGCATGGGAAAGTTCAAAGGACCATATTATTCGTATTGGCTTTTGCATGGGCGTGGGATCTCTCTCGGGGGACACTTCACATCACTCGACAGATCACATATTCAGCGATGGCATCGAGGCATCGACCGGGCCTGAGCCTACACCAACCCCCCACCACTCCAGTTCTCTTGATGCGTCTCCTCTTTGTATCAACGAATGTGTGTGCCTATTAACGGCATATATAGCAAGATGAAAACCATCCCTTTTTACCCTTTCCCTTTTTTAGCCTGAACCAGTCACATTTCGTGCATGGGACTGATGTTCTCGCGTCAAGTTCGACCAAACTCTAAACCGTTCATTCTTAGATTAAGGGATAAGCAAGGATTGGTGAGTTTCGGCATTGAAAGATTGAATCGAGTAAGCATAAATGATCTGAAATAGTTTCACATACGTTTAGAGATATATGGTTTTAATAGTCTGTCCAGCTACGGTTTCTTGGGTCATAGCATGGTTGGAGTTAGTCTTCGGTAGGGCTTTGATGTTATGGAGTTGATGTGCGAAAAGAGAGTTTAACATGGACCATATTGAGTCGTACAATTCCATTTGTGGCTAGAACTACAGGCAACCTAAAGTGTGGTAGTCACACTTGATGGTTGAGCCGCCACCAACTTTTCCTTTGCTTTAGTACGTCCATCGACTAACCCTGCACAACTGACTCTGGGTCGGCGCAGTTGATCAAAGAATAGGGAGATTCTTAGCTCACGAATTGGGGGCCGCCTGTTCGAAATTCACAGTTTATCCAACCAAGACGCAAGTGGCCAGAATTTTCAGATCAGTTCAAATATTGGTTTACATTGTTTGGAAATGATGAAAGACGTTTTTCAGAAGAAGTCAGAAAACCATGTAGGAAACTTGTAGATTTTCAAACCCATGCTAATTTCGCAGAAGCAGAAAACTTCCTGTAATATTTCACCATATTGTGCAAGCTTCCGTCGATACTTCATAAAGAAAGAAAATCATCCAGTTCCTACACTTTGAAGTGATATTCACAAAATGGTAGGATAAATATGGTCATGAAAGCTTTTTGCCCCATTTGATTAAGCTTTTCAAGATTGAAGAAGAAGGCTCTATATTTAGACTTGTCAAATGAGTAGGTCGGGTCGAAAATGGTCCGACCCAAATTGATCCATTTAACCTGTTTTGACCTATTTCCATACAATACAAATCTAGTGACTAATACCCAACCCGACCCATATTACTAAAACACTGTTATATTTAACTCATACCCAAACTAAGGTGAAAGCACGGAGTGAGCGACGCTGAGATCGAGTGAGGGAGAGAGAGTGAAAAGAAAGTCATAAAGATGGGTTGAGTCTAAGTAAGTTGTGAACCTATTTATTATCAATATTAAACTCATTTATGATCCATATAGTTTGGTATTAACTCATATACAACCCATTTATTGAATATAACTAACTCATATAACAACATAGCCCATTAAATATGGGTCTATGACCTATTTTGATAGGTATATAAATATCAGCAAGACCACATCCACCGCCTCAGATGAAATATTTAAATGATGTTTTCAATTAAGTTTAGTTGGATGACCTTAACACAATTGGCATCTCTAAGTCAGAACTAGAGGAGAACTTATTAAAATATAAGGAACTCAATGGTGAAGACTCAAAGCCCTCTCGGTTAACAATTAATTGAGTTTTATTATTACGTAAAACACTCAGCATTAGCCAGCTCTGCTCAAGAAGCTAATCGGCACGAAGGATAACCGGCACATGATAGATGACATGTCATAATAGAAGAATAGTAACAGCACTGCTAGGATTGTCGGAAGCAAACGACATAAATAGGAAAGATTTTCGGGATAAAAGTAGATTAGTGAATAGGTGCGCTCAACAATAATATGCAAAATGTAACAAAAATTCAAACAAACGGAAGATGGTGGAGATACACCTAGCATAGAGCACTAAGAAGAGATTCAAGGCATTCTCTGCCTATAAAATCAAATGCAACCTCAAAGAGAAGACATACCCTAGAATCCTCATAATTTGCCTTACTCAGAGAAAACATGGCTCTCTTGCAAAACCCTTCTCTCTCCCTCCCTCCCTCTCTCTCTCTCTCTCTAAAATCCGTCCTCTCTATTCTTAGAAACTTCTTTAATCTTGTGAGGTATCAGCGGTTATCTTGTGGATGATGTCTCAAGTATATCTACTATAACGTTCAGTACATACGTCTAGTATGTATTAAATAAAGTTTGCAATCATTTTAATAAATCTGTAAGGTTTAGTATGCTTTAAATGAAGATTTTGATAACAATCCTGTAAAATTTGGTATCATAGCCATGTCGGATTAATCTCCTAATGAATAGATGTTTTATTTTATGAAAAATTGGGAAGTCACTAGGATAAGTTATGTTTTTGTCTCTTCCAATACTTCATCAGATTATAGTATTTCTTCTTTGAGGAGATTTAGATTGGCGTCGTCCATTTGAAACAATTGTAATGTGATCGATCAAAAAGTTTTCTTTAAGGACTAGATTGAAAGGATTGGAGAGAGTTAGCAGAATTATAAAATTTATTTTATTGTAGGTAATAAATTGATTAAAAATAACTTGAAGGACAAAAACTTGAAGGACAAAAACTAACGGTTTTGACTGAATATTCCAGAATTTATCGATGTTTGTGGCTATAAGTTAGATTTGTGCCATGGGTACCAGTTTAGGAGTTTTTAAGGTGCATTACAAAGATTAAAGTTCAAATTGTCAAAATAGGCATAGTTTATATTTTTTGTAGGAGGAGTTCTATTTGAAAATATTGCTCATGTTGATAAAAAAAAAGAGGAATTATATCTTCTTATACAATAAAATCGTCACATGTAATCCTTTCAATTATTTTTTATTTAAAAAAGGCTAGTTTTATGAGCCCTAGATGCATTAAATAAAGTCTCTTTTATTATAATACCGATCCTTTTTTTACCATGTCGTTTAATTTATTAATAAAATTAACTTGTCTTTTTTTTTTTTTATATCATCTATATGTGATAGAAGAGTAAAAGGGCGCTTTAGAAAAATGGATCATTATTAACCTTGGAAGGTTTTTCTTGTTTTCAATTTATGCGAGGGGAAATTTCAATTAAGGCTAGAAGTGCCCTTATTTTCTCAAATAAGAGCATGAAGTGAACTTTGTGTCAAAATAAGGCCTGAAGAGGCCATGGAGTCTCAAATGAGGGCCTAACCTCACCGATCGTCGGCCGGCGAAATATTCCGACCGGTCAAATGTATTTTCGTACAAAAATAATTTTAATTTTAATTTTTTTCCTTTTTCTTATTTTACTTTTGTTCTTCACCAGTGGCCGGTCCCGGAGGGTCGCCCCAGCCCGATCTGGCGAGGGACGGCCTCGCCGACCATGGGGGAGGGTTGCCTCGCTAGCTGCCTGCGAGGGGCAACCTTGCCAGATCTGGGCAAGGCCGAGCCAGCAAGTTGGCACTTGCCTCTGGTTGGCAATGGGATGGCGAGCAGCGGTCATAGGCTAGCCCTTGTTTTTTGTTTTTATTTTTTAATTTTAACTTTTTTTTTGAGTTTGTTTTTTATGGAAAAAAACACAAAAGGAAAAAAAGAAAGAAAAAATAAAAAATAAAAAAGACAAAAATGCCCTTGATTCCGACGAGGTTAGGCCCTTATTTGAGACTGAGATGGCTACTTCATATCTTTATTTGAGACAAGATTCACTTTAGGCCCTTATTTGAGAAAATGATGGCACTCCAAATTCTTATTTGACGCAAGATCAACTTTATGGCTTTATTTGAAAAAATGAGAGCACTTTAGGCCCTTATTTGGAAATTTCCCTTTATGTAATGTGAATGTTTGTCAAAGAATGTTTGTCAAAGAGGACATGTAAAAACCATGTACTAAAACCTAAAACTAAGAAATACTTCTAGATTCATATGAAAAATATTTCAGATGATACGAAATGAGTGAGCAATTAAAATTTGGCGTGTCTAGATAGGCTTTTGCTTTTTACTTAATTTAAGTATTACGACAAACGCATTTGGACTTTCTTTTATATATTTCAAAATACACGAAATTTCACGATACATTGTTGTTGACACTTAAATTTATATAGGGCTAATTCAAAAAAAAGCACCAACTTTATTTTGAGTGACAATTCTGACTTAAAATTTTTTTTGTCTCAATAAAAAGCATTAATTGTTACTATAGTCTCAAATCTGGCCCTCATGATGTGAAATTGTTTAAGCCAAATTTGAGATTTAAGTGAAAGCTAGTGATTTTTTATGAGACAAAAAAAAGTTTGGGCCATAATTGTTACTCAAAGTAAAGTTGGTGTTTTTTTTGGAAGGGATATGTTCACTAGAAGTCCTAAAACTTACAAAAAGTGTAATCAAGTCCTAAAACTTATCAAATTGGTTCAAACAAGTATTAAAAGTAACACCTTCAATTTATCTAACGGAAAATGTTGATGTGGCATTTTTAATTAATTTTTATTCAAATCTTATTTAAAATAAATTTAAAAACTAAAAATTTTTAAAAACAAAACAAAACAAAACTGAAAGGAAAAAGGGAAAAGGAGCTTTGCCGGAGGAGGGCCGGCTGAGGTCGCCGGCCCCCGTCAGCCTCGGGCAAGGCCTCGCCGGCCCCAGGCGAGGGCACCCAAATCTGGACTACGCCGGCCCTCACCTGGGGCTGGCGACCATCGCCCGTCCTGGGCGAGGCCTCGCCAGCCCTACGTGAGGGTCCCCGCTAGGCTTGGGTGAGGCATCGACGGCCCTCGTCTGGGGCTGGTGAGGCTTGCCCAGATCTGGGTTGAGGGCACCCAGATCCGGGTGACGCCCGGCCTTCGCCTAGGGTCGATGAGCCTCGCCAGCCCTAGGCGAGGCCTTGTCGGCCTCGGGGGCGAGGGCTGGCGACCATTGCTAGGCCTGGGCGAACGTAGGCGTCGCCTAGATTTGGTTGCCCCTAGCTAGGGTCGCTGGCCCTCGCTTGGGGCTAGCAAGGGCCGGTGACGTCAGTCGACCCCTTCGGCGATGGGTGGTGGCCACAACTTCCACATGCAGCCCTAGTATTTTTTTTTTCAATTTTATTTTTTAAAGTAAATTTTAGATTTTTTTTAGTTTAATTTATATAAAATTTGAATAAAATAATAATAAGAAATGCCACGTAGGAGGAGAAAAATTCATTTAAAAATGCCATATTAGCATTTTCAGTTAGAAAAATTCATTTAAAAATGCCATATTAGTATTTTCCGTTAGATAAATTGACGGTATTAATTTTAGAATTTGTTTGAACCAATTTGACAAGTTTTACGATTTAATTACACTTTTTGTAAGTTTTAGGATTTAATTGTACTTTTGCGATAAATTTTAGGATTTTTAGTGAACATATTCTTTTTGGAATTAGGCCAATTTATATATGATTTTTTTTTATATATTTTTCAAACTTGATATCTACATTTTGACGAAGTACTTTTGCTAGGCCCTTGCTTTCGCGGAGGAAAACAACCTCTCTTTCCGTCGGCCCCCTCAACCAACGAGCAACCTCCCTCCGCGCGGCACGGCGGCGCCGGCGCCGGCGCCGGCGCCGCTCGCCACCTCCATCGCAGCCAGGTACGCCGTCCATCTCTCTCGCTCTTGCTTCTCGCGCTGCCTCTCGACCATGCTCCGTCGTCGTTCGTTACTGAGGTTGATTCTTAATCATTGTTCGTTACGGGGGCTGGGCTTATTTCTTGTTCGGATTTGTCGCCGATCACCGATTTGCGTCGTGGGTTCTGGTTCATGGGTGCTCTAGTTCTTTGTATTGTCTCTTGTTGTTCCTCGAGTGTATGATGAGGTTTTTGGGGGCGAGGGGCTTGCGGATTGATTGAGTTCTTATCGGCATGATTTTGTGTCCCGAGATTGATTCTTGGAATTATGGAACCATTAGGTTGTAGCTGCTGTTCTTAACTTATTGTTGCGTGCAAAGCTTCGAGTGAAGTTTCCGGTTGTGCGCGTAAGGCGTTCGATGAAATGATGATGAGAAATCCATTTGACATTAGGTGCATTTGCACTGAGTTGGAGTTGCATTTGCCGTGTCTTCCAATACATCAGTTTTTGATAAGTTAGCGTGGGCATATTTGGAAGTAACTCGTTTTGGCAAATCTGATCCAAAACAGAAAACAAAGCCATGAATAAAAAGCAAAAAAAAAAAGAAAAAAAGAAGAAGAAGAAACCGAAAACTGATCCGAACCAAACCGAACCAAATTGGTCTTTCGGTCCGGTTCCAATTCGGTTTGAGCGAGTTTCGGTTTGGTTCGGTTTTTCAAGAAAACCGAACCAAACCGAACCGTTTAAACCCCTATCTGGCACAGTGATATCATGCTTTCTTGAGTAGAAATGGGCTCTGTTGTAGGTAATGCTGGATGGCCTCATGGGTGATCAGGAAAGGCATAGGATCTTGATGGTCTCTGATTTCTTCTATCCTAACTTTGGTGGTGTGGAGAGCCATATATACTATCTCTCTCAATGCTTGTTAAAGCTGGGACACAAGGTAAGCCAATGGCTCTGTCACTCACTTGTTGTGTTGAAATGCGGCGCGTATCCTTTAAGTTTCTACAAGGAGCAACTGAATAGAGTTCAATGACTTAATAATTCTTATGAGCTATGAGGCAAGGTAAGCAGTAGTATGTGACCCGTTGGGTATAATGGGCAGTTTCTATTGTTTATGTTTGCGATATGTTTATTACATTTTGCATTTCCCTGTATTCTTAATAAGCCGAATAGGCTCAAGTGTTATTGGCTGGTGTTGCTTCTGTAGAATTATAGCTGTTGTTGATTAGGTAGGATGTTTCGTGTGTGATTCAGGTGGTGGTTATGACGCATGCGTATGGAAATCGTTCTGGCGTGAGATACATGACTCATGGGTTGAGGGTTTATTACATTCCTTGGAGACCATTTCTCATGCAGAACACTCTGCCAACATTTTACGGGACGTTGCCGATCATGAGAACGATCCTCGTTCGGGAAAGAATTACACTGGTGCATGTACATCAAGCTTTCTCGACTCTTTGTCATGAAGCCTTGATGCACGCACGCACTATGGGTTATAGAGTTGTATTTACTGACCATTCGCTATACGGTTTTGCCGATGTTGGCAGTATTCACATGAACAAGGTATTGCAATTTACTCTAGCAGACGTGAGTCAGGCCATCTGTGTATCTCATACTAGTAAGGAAAATACAGTTCTTCGGTCAGGGCTTCCACCGGAGAAGGTCTTTGTTGTACCTAATGCTGTGGACACGGCCATGTTCACACCTGCTCCAGAAAATCCCAGAAGTAATGATGAAATCGTTATCGTTGTGATAAGTAGATTGGTTTACCGGAAAGGTGCAGATTTACTGGTTGAAGTCATTCCAGAAGTATGCAGATTGTATCCTCATGTATGTTCTTCATACCACTATTATTACTTGTGCATAATCATGCTTAGTTCTTTTGCCCTTCTTTTACTGAAATAAAGTTGATGTTGTGGACGCCTCCTTTGTGGATCAAAGCTCATGGGATATTGTTTCCATCTAAATGATAGCCATGGGGTGTTGGTGTGGAAAGTCTAGGTAGGAGTCCATGTTATGTTTCAGTCTCTTAAATTCATAATTACCTTTTCTGGAATTTCCATTCTCAGCACCTTTTTCTTCTCTGCTCATCTTGAGTTGCCAAAATACCTGTGCATTAGATTAATGTTCATTGAGTTTCTTTGGTGGAAGAGGCCTGTGATTATCAAACTATTCCCATTGCTGACTTGAGTAAAAATGCATTGAATCATTGCATTGTGCATTATTCTCTGATGCATTCTGCTTTTATCCACTCTAGCCCGCCTCTTGTTTCAGACATCTCAGTGTGCATGCATTTGCTTGCATGTATCTGTGCCATAACAACATATTTACTCCTATACTACCGATCAAATTGTTTTAAGCAGAAAAAATCAGCATTTTAGAAGATTTTCTTTTTTGCGTTATAAGCAAAGCATTTGATGGCACAAAGCCTGTAAGCATTTTCAAAAGTTGAATAAGATAATAAAATATGGAGACATTTAGATTTCTGCAATGCATAAGTTGCCATCTCCCATAAATCTATTGAGGTCTGTTAAACTAGATGAATGTGTAAGAGGTGACTCAAATATTGTTCTATATTCTTTCTTCTGGACTTTCGAGGATTTTTGAATCATCTGAAGAAAACCAAATGCCTTTCCAAGTGCGAGGTTTCACTCTCCACCAAACTTGTTGCGCCCCTTTGAAGGCAGTTGGATGAAGATTTAGTATATTGTGGGATCTTAAAGAAACTGAATCTGTAGGATCCTTACGAGCACTTTATTGTAGCTACATAATGGGAAGCTTTTCTGTTAAACTGCTAGAATCAAGTATTTAGTTTTGCTCTTTCCACATGCTTTTCACATTTCGGGCGTTTTCCTTTGTAGGTTTAACATATTATGATTGCTTTAAAGTCTTTTCCCATAGATGTGTGCCTTCATGCGAGTATCCTTAGTATATTTATCAGCTGAACTTTTATATAGATATGTGATTTATGAATGATGTACTGTTACTGTTAAGTGTGGGCTTCATGCTCTCAAATTTTGTCGTTTTACATGTCAAGGTACGGTTTGTGGTTGGGGGCGATGGACCCAAACGAGTGAGACTGGAGGAAATGAGAGAGAAGCATTTCCTTCAAGATAGAGTGGAAATGTTAGGTGCTGTACCTCATTCTCGTGTACGCTCTGTACTGATTTCTGGCCACATTTTCTTGAACAGGTATGGAGGTTAGGAAGCTATGAACACTTCTTTTTTCAATTTCGTATAACTCCCTCTGCTTCTAAGCAAGTGAGTTAAGCTCAATGTTTAATATAAGCTGAAACTTCTGCCCCTCCTTCCTGGAAAAATACCAAATTGTTAAAGATCTGATTGTGATGTGTGCATGTCCGATTGTTACATCAGTGAGGATTAGCCTTGGTAAGCTATGAAGTATTGATTCGAAATATGACAATTAAAGGACATATATATATAGTAATCAGTACTACTTTGTGGATCATGAAGTGTTTGAAAGATTGGAAAAGATTAGTCATGGAGGAGAGAAGACCTTGTTCTTTTTCTTGCCCCACACCCCCCCACCCCCCCCCCCCGTCTTTTTTTTTCTAGTTGTTGTGCTCTTTGCTCTATGGTTTAAGTTATGGGAAATAACTTACTGGGGTTGACCTTTTCCTTCGTCAGTCACCTTTCCCATTTTCATCTTCCATTAGCATAACAAATGATAGATTAAGTAATATGAACTAAAGGAAAGACCTATGACTGGTTACCTTGTTATGCTTATACATAATAAGACCTATTCTGTGTTTACAATGCAAAATCATGTTGAGAGGTTGTCAAACATTTTACATTTGTTTTTTTCGTCTTTGTAATATTGTTTTGATTGTCCTCTCTAAGGATTATATTAGTTTTTTCATGTCTGATTTCCGATTTACTTTCTCTACAGTTCTTTAACAGAAGCATTTTGCATAGCCATCTTAGAGGCTGCCAGTTGTGGACTATTGACTGTCAGTACACGTGTGGGGGGAGTGCCAGAGGCATGTTCTCTTTTATTATAGCAATTAATTGCTCGAAATATATCCTGAAACTAGCTAAGAGTTTATTCATACTCTTTTAGGTTCTACCAGATGACATGGTTGTACTTGCAGAACCTGATCCTTTTGACATGGTGCGAGCAATCAAGAAAGCAATTACTATACTTCCCACAATTGATCCACAAGATATGCATAAGCGTGTAAGTAACGTCTTCAGTGAGGCAAAAGTGGTGTTTGATCTTCTTCTTCAGTGGCCCAATTTCAATTTCTTTTTGCTGTCAGATGAAGAAGCTCTATGATTGGCATGACGTTGCTAGAAGGACAGAGATCGTCTATGACCGTGCTATGAAATGCTCCAATCAAAATCTTTTGGAACGGCTCACCCGGTATGAGATTGTCTAATACCAAATAGTGTTTTAGCTCCCGCATCCATAAAATCATGCGATTTATCTGCATATCGGTTGGATTCTGCAATATTCACAATGAATGCCGGGTTGATGTACTAAACAGCCCAATAACATGTCCCAGAGGTTGTCATTCATTGGTTTCTTTTGTTGCATAGAGTGACAAGGGCACGGCACAGCCACATGTTGTTGGCTAGGTTGTCACTGATTGTCTATAGAAAGGTTGCTGTTCTCGGAAAACTTGGCCGAAGCGAAGTCGTTTAGTGTTGGCTGTAATTGAGTAGTCACATATTTGTCGTTTAGTGTTGGCTGTAATTGAGTAGTCACATATTTCGAGACATTACAAGTGTATGATTCTAATCTTCTTTACCTTTAGGATTAGGATGCAGCAGTAGGCATGTTTATTGCATAGGTTCATGGCAGTGCTTTATTCCGTTTGGACATTCTTTTGACTACCATATGATTGCAATAGAATTTGCATTACTACTTATAAGCTGCTATCAACGAACTTTTGATCAGGTACCTCTCATGTGGATCCTGGGCTGGCAAGCTGTTTTGCTTGGTCATGATTATCGATTTTTTGTTGTTTCGTCTTTTGCAGTTAGTTCAGGTATCCGCATGTTCCTTTGGTACCTTTGACTTCTGGTCAATACCGTGCTTCAGGGACTTACTTTTCTTTTATCTTCCATCAGCCTGCAATTGATATCGAAGAAGTTCCTCATATGGCGATGTCCCTTGGAGAAGGTAGCAGTGCAGGAGACCATACTCCAGAGCAGAGCTCAAGATGATGGTCGACCCCGCGGTCAATGGCCTCATTTTTTTCATTTGTCGGTATGCAAAACTCAAAACTCACGTCTTTTAGATACTTCGTAGCAGAAGAGAGCTCAAGGTAACTCCCAACGACCGCCTTAAATTTTGTCAGATGGGTGAAGTGCGTGCCTCTCGAGATGTTCAATCTCAGATCTTGCTTTTAGTCTGTTCACGGATTTGATGTGAACGTTTACGGTAATACAGGGGGAGATATTCGTACAGCAACAGGTCACATGTTGCCATAAAAAGCAGATGACAAGAGACATGGTTATACCGCGAAAGTGTCGCGAGCTCGAGGCGGGAATCCATAAAGGCTTTTGCGTCAGGCTTGTGGTTCACTCGCGACTCATGAAGGGGAGAAAGAAAAGAATCGAAGTAGGAATGAACGAGGAAAACTAGTGCAACGAGAGAATGGTTTCTCGATTCTCCCTACTGGTCGCCATGTAATTTAATCGATGATTGTGTCGATTTAGATGGTTATTGTATCGATAATTGACTAACTAGCTATATCACCTGCGGTTGAGGTGACTAGTGAGAAGTACGGTTGCATGTAACTTCGTGCATTTTACACAGGACGTACTTCGTTGCATCTCTCAAGAGATTTTTTACAGATTTCCTGATCTAAGATTTTGTACTTATCTGGAATTTTTCTGTGACACGAACTAAGATAATTTGGAGTAAATACGATAGGGTTGTATTAGTTTGAGATTTTTATGATATTAGCCCTTAAAGAATCCCGAAAACACTAATTATAGAAAAATTGCTGGAGCATGGAAAATGCGGAAACGAAAAATTCCGATTGCGGGCTCAGCCCGGACCGAGCCGATCAGCCATGATTTATTTCGGTTAGATAAAAAGTATATTGATTGGGCCCGAGCCACAGGTTTGGGCTCAAGACTGTAGGCCCAATAAGTTTGGACCGAGCTTCGTATTGATTTTTTTTTGGTCTAATTCCTGTCTTTTATGTACATGTGCAATGTAGTGATCGCGGGGATTGAATCCCGGGCCTAGTATATTCTCGCCACAACCGTCCCCCTCAATCCCTATACCGACAGGCCACATGCCTGTTGGCCTCAAAGAGTTCAGTGGCTGTGAATGGAGAGCATTTGCCATCAACTCGAGGACGAGTCTCCCACAAAAGCCGATCAAATCCTGCACGGATCGAAAAAGGACTGTCCCGCCATATGCGGGAACCCATCTTCTAGAGGAAATAGTTTTTGCTCATTCAGGAAATAAAGAAGCATTATATTCTTGAAACAGAGTTCTCCCTGAATAAGATTGCGTTAGACACATGGGATGTCCTCAAAGGAGGCCCGGATAATCGTAATATTATCACGTGATGCGGGGATACCTTCATATCATACTATATATTTGATTCAATGACTACACGAGACATGCGATTGCAATCACATACCCCAGTTGGAAACTCCATAAAAAGAGTGCAAATTTTCTGAAGAGATGAAGATAAAATGTCGTGCCTAGCTGTACTGTGAAAGAATTCCACAAGATTAAATCACTTATTCAAAGAATAAAGCCGAAAAGAAAGGTCTTGGACGAGGTTAGGACATGTACAGTGGAGCCGAGGCTGGAGGAACGAGACGGATTGAAGTTTTCTCCCTTTGTCATGCGAACTATGAGAGCATGTCCTGGAAGTACACAAAAGAAAGATTAAAGGAATGCCTCCCGCAGCGACATATGAGTCGGCTCTGTTACTTTCAGAGGAAAAAAGGAGTGTGTCATACCCTCTGTCAGTGATATTCCTCTGAGGACTCCAAGTGCTTGTTTCGAAACATTCGCCATCCTTTCTTCTTCTTCATTTGAGATGGAGACACATCTGAAATCATGGCATGACTCGAGTGAAAAGATAACGATATTAACAGAAAACTATGAGGACAGCCTACATCTAGGATTCCATGGCCTCCGACTGGGATTAACAATAACATAACATTAATTGCACCTAGTAGCTGAGAAGCCAAACAATGATCCTGTCCTTACAGTCGACACTTCGTTTAATGCAATACTTTGCCTTGTCAGGCCAAAATCGCTGTAATTGTTGTTCGGAGCCTGTTTCGAATGGCTCTTTGCCTTTCCAAGTTTTGCCTTTTGCAGTTTTTATAGCTATATTCTCTTTAATAGAAGATGGGAAACAAAAGTACATCAGTTCACCACCCACTAAAAGGGGATTTTGGCATTCCATACCTATATTCTAACTCAGAAGCCAGAAGCTCCACCCAAAAGCTGGGGGAGCATCTTCTGCTTATGGCTTCTACTAGAGTTGTGACTTTTGCTGTTGGCTTTTTGAGTAGCTTTCAATGCCAACGGCTAATTTTGATGAAAAGCAACAAACTGAAATTAGAAATACCGCCCTTCTCTCCAATAATGATCTCCATTCCTTTTTTGGTCTAAATATGAGAAGTCGGTTACCCACATTGTAATATTTCCCCATGGAAACAAAAGTGACTCTTCTACTAAAAATATTTCAGATATAGTTACGACTTATTGCAACGATGCAGAGAGCATAAAAAACTGAGTGGTTCCAACTCATTCTCAAGATGAATCAAATTGCTCCTGAAGCATATGTAGTTACTAATTTCCAGAAAGCAAACATGAGGCCTCATACCTTCCTCCAGGATTATTGAGTTATAATGCACCTCTGCCCAAAAACTCAAGAATATAACTGCATATGGAGAACATTAGCAACAAAAAAAGATGTCAATATAATTTATTTTAAGGCAAAAATATAGTTATCTTGGGCATTTGACACCAGCATGAGGAGCCTGGAGGATTAAGCTAAATCTAACTGGTAATTCGAATGTATAAATGTATTTTGCTAGGATGGACTTGTTTCTGTCCCAATAAAAAAGTTCAAGATGGACGTACCTCGTTTAGACTTTTGATCATTTGGAAGAATCTCAATGTAGCATGTGTCCTTGAAAGAAGTTATGACAAATATTCTAACGCCATGCTGCAAAAAAAACCATCGACATGCATCAAGACATTTCATTTCATCTCAATCAATGCACTGGCTGAAAACCTCTTCAATTACGTAACAGTCAAATATCTATGCGCTTACCTTTAGTAATAAGAAAAAAGTTTAAAATGATGCAAGATTGCAAGTACAAAGTTCTACATCTGATTCTTTACCAAGGAGTCATGAAAGCATCAAGCCCCAAAGGAAAAGAATAGGAATCCAAACTCAGCACGACTTAATCCCATCACCACCTGACACCAAGTTTCAAGTTCCTAGGCACTATGAGACTATGGGCTAGGGTGAATTTAAAAAAACAAATCTAGAATGGAAATCATTATTTGTTGATGAGCTCTAACCACCCAAGTAAAGCTGATAAGTAGTATGGGAATCACACATAATAAAAGAAATATGTACCAAGTCTGCAGCAGCCTGCAACGTGACATGATCGCCCCATTCACCAGTCCTATTGTCATACAAAAGTAGAAAAAATCAGTGGTTTCCGGAAGAGAGAAGACTGGTTGAGAGTAGAGAGTGGAGAAATACTTAGACATCTTCTCCAAATAGTCATCATAAGCCATAGGCACATATCCCTCATATATATCTGGGCAAGACTTCAGCTGATATGTCAAAACAACGGGACAGAAGGAGCATTACCATCCAAGTATGCAGAGAGTTATGCAGCAACAAACTTGGATGAACTAATCATGCAAAAAACAGAAAAAAACAAACTTGGATGAACTAATTTGGTCAAACGAAAATGGATGAGCAACCTGTTCAACGATTTCCCGTCTCATAAAGTCATGGTGCTCGGTGGTGTGGTAGATCTGATCAGACAGGGCTCGGAACTGGAAGCATTGAGAAACTAATTAGATATAGTGTGCATGTTACTTTAAAAACCACAGCTTTCCGACCAAATAACAAAGAACCACAGCTTTTATTACCACCAAACAGGCAAACAGAATACATAGAGAATCACAAAATGGTGATATATTGAGGAATATTCAAGCATTGTGTACTAGTACTTTATAAAGTCAACCTGCTATATAATTGAGCTCATTGTTGCTCGACGACGCAGACTGAGCGAGGAAAGCAATCTAACACTTTAAAATCGGCAACTTATGTTCTAAGTTCAACCATTAGCTACACCAAAGTTTAGAGATTCTTAGATGAGCAAATTATTCAAAAGGCAAAATCTACACGCATCAAACCACCAACATTAACTCAATAAAATCGCAGATTTAGAAACTTTGAGTGTCTAGGGTTAGCAGATGGACCTAAGCTAGACTTAAAGTTCAGTTATAGGTGTAACTTTCTTCTCCTCGATGCAACGGCTCATTATTGAGAGTACATTGGAATTTTTCCGTATAATGGACCTAGCGAATATGCGATTTCTTTTGATTGGGCAGTTAGACAAGTACACCATCTCCTTCAAGAATCAATTAGAATCTAAGGTCCATTTTATGGCACAAGCCCCCCCAAAAAAAGCAAAATAGAAAGGAACAGAAAAGGAATCATTGTAAAGGTCCATTTGTTTCGTGAAAAGGAGACAATTTAGAAAACATTTTCCTAAAACCGATACATCACTCGCAAAATGGAATAGAAAATAATATTTTTATCATCAAATAAAATGTTAAGGGATAGGCTATTCTTGATAATGAATATAATGTCCATTGACTAACTTTTTAAATGACAAAAGCGATCATCTTTTAAAAAATATTTTCTGGCCATTGATTTTCCATAAAACAAACGCACCTTAATTAAAACAAAAGATGGAAGTTCCTTGTCTCTCTGCTCACTTTCTCTTTTCTCTTTCTCACGACCCCCTCTTTTCTTCCCATCCTGCATGCCTCCCCCCCATGCCGCTCGCAACAATCTAGCTCGTGATCAAACTATTCTCCCACTTGGTCAATTCACAGAATTACTGCAATTGTTGTCAACATGATTTTTTCTTAAACAGCAACAGAATGGTTAAAGCTTTAGGTGAGTTTCCTACTCCTAGCACTCTAACTCAGTGGACCTTCTTCCATTAGCAGATTAGGATGAAATCCAACTAAAAAATCCTAGCATTTCCCAGTCTGTAATTCACTTGCCATTTATTTGTTCCTAAATCCAATTAGTTTCCTAAAATCGAAAATTGAAGCTTAGAGATTAATTTTTGCTTAAAATGATAGCAAAGACTTACAAAGATGATGATAACTATGAAGCAACACTTTTCCGTTTCACATGTAACTAACAAATTACCCAATGCCAGTTAGCAGAGATGTCACCCTTTAACTTCTATTGCAGAGCTGAGAAGAGCCCATGATCCATGATAATACAGAACTGACCTACAGGTCGATCTTTACCTCTACATATCCTGATCTCCCACTTCTAATCTACCCAATTCCTACATGACCCGATGACCATTACTTAATGCTCTCACCATTTGATAAATTTATTAACTGGGGGCATGCATACCGAATTGCAATTTTTATCTGGACTGCTGAACCACGATAGATAAAGAAGCAAAAAATGAGAAAACTTAGCATGCGTCTAATAGGAAAGGATCACACGGTGCTTGGTGAAGATGTGTAAGCTTGAGATGAGAGCTTACATTGTGCAGAGTTGCACGTATAAAATCTCAATCACAAAGAAAAATCCACCTTCAATGAACTAAGACAGGTTTTTGTAAAATCTCAGAACTCAAGACGCAAACCTGACAGTTACCATCTCCTTGAACTTTGCGCTCCACCAGACCATAAAGCTCCAATCTGTAGAAGGAAAAGTCAGGCTTCATATGCTATTCATGTCATGGGTAATGGATTATTCAAACATCAAAAGTGGTGCTTGAAGATAAAGTTATAGAATAAAAGAAGAAGAAAAGAAGAATGAGTGTACCAAATAAAAGGACAGAATACCTCTCAAGTAGCCGTTGATGATCTAAAGTCGCTTCATCCACCGATGGAATCTCACCATTGGTTTTTGGCACATGCTGCAAAAAATCAGCAAGAAACTAATAACTCGAGCAACCAAAGAAAAAAAATAGTCCAGCAGACCAAAAGATCAAAATCAAAATATTAAAGGAAAGAAAATGAGAAAAAGGAAAACCACTTTGCGCTTTGTCAGTTGAATGCAGTTAAAAAAGAATCCGACTCTCTCATCCTTCCAACAAGAATAGAGAACAGCACAACTAAAGAAAAGCGCGTAGATCCCCAATAGAAAGAACAGAAACAGGGAGTAGTTCTCGTCAATTCTGCAAAGGACATGGGGCATGTAACGCAGAAGGAATTTTCCAGGATACTATCTCACTGGAAAGTAAATTCCTTCAATTATATAATATACATGAATATAATCAAAGTTCAAGGTCAAATTAACATACAATCTGAATATTAGACTCTTATAATTGGTATTTAACAACTCTTGTACTTGGAAACAGCATGCATACCAAATTCCACTCCACAAAACAAGAGGTCAATCCCATTAGTTTTTAAAAGATTAAACATCTCCCCAAATGATAGGGTGATAACTAGCTAACACCGTGAAAGCAAAAAGGAATTATAACAATTGCAACTAATCAAAGGCGAGAAAAGGCTTGCTATTGCGGCTACTTAAGATAGTTAAACATCTCTTTGGTGAATGCGAAACTCACCGGAACACAAATCATTTGATTTAACCTCCTTCCCAGTTCGCCGTCGTAGGCATACTCATCTGGTAGCTCTAAGGAATATGGCCAGTCTTCCCTGCAGCAAGCCTCTTCATCAGGGCTGGGACATGAGCTGGAATGTAAGATAGCTTCTGCTTCGTCCTGTCCTGCACAATGGACTACTAATTAACAGACAACTCAAAACATAAAGTGTATATCTTAATATATGGTATCGCAAAAGTTCTACTGTTTTCATGCTTAGAAAAAACCTGAAGCATAGTTTTGAATAGATTGGTCAGGCCAATTGTGCAAGAAGAAAGATGGTTGCAACTGTTCTGATTCTTCATGTGCAGATTGATCTGTTTCTGTAACAGCGAGCTGAGATAGTTCCTCTTGAAGAGCATGTGCTATAAGTTCATCACTATCCACATTCCCACAATCCATGCTAAAATCATCTTCCTCGAAGTAGGGTCCCGGATAGTAGTCTAAATTATCCTGAGTCAAGGTACTACAGTATCCGCAATTGGAATACGGATTGCTGTCAAAGAGCTGGAGACCCCACTGAACAAAATCATGATCTTGATCGTGCGAAATCATTTTCCCTCATTCACAACACAAGGCTAGGCGACGTTCTTCATTCAGTTGAAAAGGCGGCATCCTAACCCAGTAGAATAATAATATGGAGGAGACCCCGCCGACTCGCAGCCATGCCCTGGATAGCCTTCCCCTAAACCAACAGACAGATCCCCGCCCATTCTTCGAAGTACTCCAGCATAGAACTTCATCCTAAACGAAATGTCAACATAATCAGCAAAAACGCGAAATCTGAAGGCAATAGTCTTATGTCAGGTGCATCAGGACTCAGGAGAATAGATTACAGAGCTCAAATACTTGCAATAAATGAACGAATTTTCGGTAATCTATGACGAAACCAAACGAACACATTTCACTAGGACACGCCATCCATCAAACGAAACTGCTCTTAGAGCGGCGATGTATGACTCCCACATTGGAAATGTGGTCTTCAGGAGCCTACTATTGGGGCCGTCATCCGTCAGCTAAAGAATGCAGCAGCCAAATCTATGGAAATCCACGATCCACATTCCCCGGGGAGAAAAGCGTTCGAGGTAATCAAACCAATCCAGTAAATTCCAACAAGAACATCCCACGCAAACGTGAAAAGAAGGAAAAGAAAAAAACCAAAAGGGTAGCAGAAAGACCGAAGTTCTCATCAACCATCATCATCGTCCTCGTCGCCGTCGCCGTCGCCGTCGCCGTCGCCGTCGTTCATCTATGTCCCAGCTTAAGGCAGTCGGACACCGTGGTCGGAAAAAGAAGAAGAAAGAAAGAGAAAAAAAAAATACAGGAAGAAGCGAAGGCCGAGCGGCGGAGTGGCAGCGACAAGCAACACGCACCTGAGGCTGAACCGAAGCTACCCAAGGAGGTGGTGTTCTTCGTCCATGGAGAGAGGAGAGAGAGAGAGAGAGAGAGAGCGGGAGACGCCAGGAAGAGTCGGGAACTCGCCGGAGCCACGAGATGGCGGCAATGTGCGGCCAAATGCGCGTCGGAAGCGCACTGACGAGAGTAGCAGCAGCGGACGAACGAAGCAGCAGCAGCAGAAGCGGAAGAAGAGGAAGGAGGCGGAGGAGGAGGAGGAAGAAGAAGAAGGAGGCGGGCGCGGTCAACCTTTCCGGTCAACACAGGAGTGGAGCCTAACGGCGACGGAGCCGTTAGTTGACGGCGCGAGCATCTTTTTTCTCGTGGCGTCTGTCGTCTTCTCCTCTCACCTCCTCGTTCGGCAAACGGGTCCTGCGGTCCCATCCGTAGAGCCCAATGACACGGCGACACGCGTGCGCATGAGAGGACAGGTAGGACCCACCGCCGCACATGCATTCGCTGTACGTGCTTTTGATGCTGTTTCCTGTTTCGGGTCATCTGACCCCCTCGTCGGGTTGTCGGTCCTTGCTCAATCGTACGTCTCCAGATTTTTCGCCTTTGGCGAAAATTTGCTTAAATTTTCGTTCACATTCTTTTTTTTTCGTTCAAATTTGCTTAAATTTTCGTTCACATTCGAAAAGGGTAAAAGCCACGGACAATGTCAAATCATGATCGCTGATAAAAAATCTCAAATTTATATACGTGCGACATATTTATCCGGTCAAGATTAAAAAGACAAATAGTATTGACATGACAATCACGTGACTTGACATGAAAACCATCTGACGGAAGATAAACACGTCACATAAAAATAAGTTTGGGATTTATTTATGTCAAAAGAAAAAATTTAAAGTAAATGTATCACGACGAACATAATTTGAAGTTTTTAATATCACAAGAAAAAACTTATCGTAAATGCACCACAAAAGGCATAATTCTAAGGTTTTTTTTGGCAACTTTTTACCTTTCCGAAAAATTGGTTCTCAATAGGAAAAGGCCCGGATAGGAAAACTTGTATTAATGCACATGAGCATACAGATTCGATCACAAAATTTGCAGTGCGCAGTTTAATCACAAGTTCCAAACCATGTGGAGTAGAAGTCATCATTGAGCGGGCCGGTGCCGGATCGGGTCCGGGAGTCGGGCCTAATAGATTGTGCAAGTCCGCCCATAGTATGAAATTACCCATAAGATTTTTGGAACGGGTCGAAATGTCTCGGGCCCAGCGGCTGGGGATCACTTCTAATGGGAAGCCATAGCACTGTCAATGCTTCTAGCCCGTTCACATTTTTTCCGATCCGAGACTCCATTTCATTGATTGCGTCCACCGTCTTGACCTTTCCACATGAATTGGGGACTTGGGAGCAGTGGAAGATCGGTCAACTTAGCAGTTTCAGAAGACTCCAAAACAAAACGACACCACAAGAATGTCGAAATTCGAACATTATGCATTTCTACATCACAACTTCCACCACTTCTATTCCGAAACAAATTGACACGATAGGTCAATTCTAGAGACAAACGCATTCGATGCAGTAAGTCTGAATCTAGTAGATAAACCAGGGTATAGTTGCTTTATACCAGAGTAAGAAGTAGTTGATAAGCCGCAGCATTGTTCCAACCGCTCCATTTTCTCCTTCATAAGTTGGTTCCGCAAAGAGAAAAAAAACCCTCCAGTTAACTTTAAGTACGAAACTAATCCGTGCTTTTGAGCCTCCTGACAAACATCAGCTGGATTTGTGCCGACAAGCATCATGTATCTTTAAGTTAGTTGTGGTCCTGATAATCAAAAACTAAAAGTTGTGTGAAAAAGAGATTCGCAAGTTATGCGGCTCAAGACGCGACCGTGGGTTGTTTGTGAAGGGGAGAAAACTTTGCCGTCTCCTGAAACAAGATGACGTGCTGCCGAATGTGATCGCCCTTGGAGACAATCAAGAAATGTGCAGGGATCGGAGTTTCATTTCCAAATCATATTCCCCATGAATTTAAGAGCCGGAACGCCCCTTATTTCTGCATCAAATAAGGGTGCCTCCACCACACTTAATCTTGCAAGCTCGGGATCTGTTTTGATCATATCAAGGGCGCGCAACTGATCCTGCAAAAAATTTTGGGATGCCACTTTAGCAGCAAAGATTTTGGAGAAACTAGTGAGCATATGTTTATCTAAGTAAAAGTCGAGAGGACATTCCACAAGTTGGAAGTCCGTTATTCTAGTCTGGACAAGATAAATATCCGAGTCCACTCCCAAACGAATTATGGTCTTGGAGAAGTTTAAATTGTACCTTCCTCCTCACAGAGCAAAACCTGCACTCCGATACCGATTGAGGAAGAACCTGATTAACAATGAGCCTCTGAACAGGAACACTTTCCTTCCTCAGGGACGCACACAATCTCGATGATTCACTTATCGCCATAACCTAGAAAGGTTTCCAAAAATTGACAAGGGCACCGCAAAAAGGTCCATATATACACGGCTTTTATGAGAGAAACACGGAAAGCAAACAAGCTTAAAAGGTCGAGTGGACAAGTATATTTTTCTTAAAAATCCAGAGATTCAACTGAAGCCGTGTTTCCTGTGCAATTTCAGTCCATAATACACATAGACATGAATCCACACTATGGATTTAAAATGAAATGGATTGATGTTGAAAGTGACATGAAACATAAATAATTTGTGTCGTATGCACATTAAATGGCCCCAGTGCCATAAAGTGTTAGATGCCATCGTTTCAATTTACACCTTATGTATATTGTTCAAGGTTTATACACAAAAACATGCTCAGGAAGCAAAAGTTTCAGGTCAACAAAAGAATATGGAGTTAGCAAACTAGCTAAAAGAATACACAATGACATGCACTGTTCCCTGTGCAAAATCATATGGATGAAGTTGTGTGCTTTAAGATGGAGTAAAGAACAGTTTGCTTGAATTGTGGAATAGTTTGTTAACAATATAGCATCTTCAGAGAATAAGGAAAATTATGGAGATGCACCATTAATTATCATAATATCACACATTTATTCTCTAATATTCTAAAACCTAAAATATCACCTATCCCGATCTTATTTACTTGGGCAAAGCCAAACATGGTTTGATCGTTAGCTCTTACATGGTTCTCTGTCTTACTTTTAAAAGGGGTTTAATATAGACAGAAAGCATGAGAATTATCACAGTAGTCTCGCTGTGATCCATCTTGATTATTGAGGCAAAAAGCAAACATGCCATTTGACATGAGGAAACATTGGAACTAAAAACACATTGTAATTCAAATTTGAAAAAGTTCTCCCCATCTTTCCACACATCAAAGGCTGTGATAAACAACATAATAAAAAGAATTACCGCAGGAATTGTCACTATGATGAACTCCATCATGTCTGAGTCACGAAAAAGGTCTCGGACTGTTCTCATCCTCTCCCTCAGTTGGTCAAGTTTGTCAGACTACATTTGATTATCATATGATAATGAGAACTTCAATGCCATGGATATAAATCGAAAATACCATCTCACAATTCTGTACTTACAACATCCTTCTGCTCTTCTTGTTTTCCAAAAACAGATTTGATCGCTGCAGTTGCAGAAGCTAACTTCTTCTTTAGCTGATATGTGTATATTTATTCAAAGTAAAAATGGTTACAAAAATACCAAATCAGATTAAGATTGAAATCTAAAACCTCAATAATTAATTCTATTCACCACCATAAACATTTGCACTGAAGTGATTAATTATTGACAAAAGCATTTGTCCTTTTACTTTTACTATCACTTGTTAATATTCCGGCAAGCATATAACAAAGGACAACTAAAATAAAACATTTAAGCATAACTTGATACGAGACACCACCTAAACTTATGATGTGAAGTGTACACATATAAGGGCGAATGCAACATACTTCTCTTGATACAGTTGCACCACATGCATATTTTTAGGACAGTTACAAACTAGAATATCCATACCTTCATCATTTTGCCAAGGGATGCATCCAGGAAATCAGGCAGGGACAGCAAACGGAGAGTATGGCCCTAGCGACAAATTTATGTAGTAACAAGACAAGTATTACACAAAACTTAAGCTGATGGTAGAATATCAGCAAAAGAAGTTTCTACAACATGAACTTTCACTCACTGTGGGCGCTGTGTCAAAGACAACACGGGTGAAATTACTGTACTCTGGGGATTCAACAAACTGCATAACCTGAACACAGCTAGAAAGTCAGGAAGAATGGAAAGAAGTCTAGAACAAGGATGACATTCTCCAATGTGTGTTCTAAACTACAGGAGATGGGACGTGCCTTAGAGATTGAGATAGCTTCGTCCAACCCAGGTGGAGGAGTGTCCAACAACTCATCTAGTTTTAGGTCCCCTAACTGAAGCGTAAAGTGTAACAAGATAAGCAGAAAAACCAAAACCAGAAATAGGTAAAACGAAACGACAAAACAGAGTAGAACAAAAGAAGAATTAACGGGATGAATATGTTAAGCTGTATAGCGCGATCTCAAGCATTGTATTTTCTCTGAATCATCAAATCGGAGTTACTGAAGTTTAACCTGATCAACCATTGCACCGAGACCCATGCTCTCCATTAGATCTTTGATGCCACCGCCACTATTTTTCTGACTTGCTGTGCGGAACTCTTCCCTGGACTTCTCAGGGTTTATCTACGACGACATGATAACTGATGATATGTATCAATAATGGGCAAGTGAAGCGAACAAAAACTCATCGTGAGCAACTTCTCGAACTATCAGTCCTTAAGCTAAACAGAGACCTCCAAGGCATATAATGGAGAATCGACGCCTTCCACAGGAATAAGCACCCCTCCAGTCAAATCCTAAATTGATTGTCCACCAGGAAGCAAGTTAGAGACTTATCACGAAAGTGTTACAAACTAACTAGACGAAATCCCGACATACAAATGCATAAACAGTTTGATCTGCATTTTAAACAAATGCCAGCAATATCTGGTACCTGCGCAAACGAATCGCTTAATGAATGAGCAGGGTCGGTCGAGACCACTATGGTAGGGTGGCCGTGGTTAGCAAACTTCACGGCAAGGGAAGCGGCGCAACTTGTTTTCCCAACACCTCCTTTCCCACCCACCATGTAATACTTCCGATCATTCGCCGCGACCATCTCATCAAACCCACCGGTTGCTCCAGAGGAACTAACAACCGATCTTACTGCAAAGTTCTTTCGTTAGAATATACGAGTAAATGAAAATGCTCTTCCCCCGAGCACATCAGGAGCTAGGATGCTCCAACATCTTATCGTGAAAAATCAAATGCAACGATTAGCTTATTCGAGAAAAAGCCCAATTTCTGTGTCGACGCCATTGGCGATTTCGTTCTATCCACCGCTCGATCGATGGACCGAATCTACGGAATTTCCGGCCGAAACACGGAACTCGCGAAACGACGGATCCGACCAAAGCGGTGCCATCAGATGCGGGCATCCCCATCCCCCCCCCTCCCCCCTCCCCATTCCATCCGACACGACGGATCGACCATCGCCGCGCGGCAATCGGAAGCGAACGAATCGATCGCGAACGACGAACGTGCGGCGATGTTCCCGGAGTGCCGGCGCGAGTGAACTCGTGAGTTACCTTGGGGAGAGAAGCCAGCCGCGAAGCTTCTTCGGAGCGTGACGACGAGAGAGCCGCGGCTCTGCGACTGGGAAGCGCGACGGAGAAGAGCCGCCATGGCCGCCGGCGCTCTCGAGCCGTTGACGTCGAGGAGCAGAGCGGGTGGATGCGCAAGCGGCGCGCGAAGAAGGTGTCGGGGGGGTTGAAATGGGAGGGAAAGAGGGCGTTAAGTTAGCATGCTACTGGCGAGATCACACGTGTGTGGACTTAAGATTAAAATATTTGCGAAAGTAGAAAGACTTGATTAACGTAAATTAAAAAAACAGGGACCTGATTAGTAAAAAAAAAAATTAAAATTGTAGGTGTTAAAAGTTGAATTTAAAAAATTTAATGTAGTTGTCTGGTCATTACATAGTTTACGTTATTCAGGAATTAATAATATTAAACGAAAAGTAAATGATTTGGAAAAATCAGATGCTGCGGTACATTTATTCAATGACTCGAGTTTGGAAGACTAGTTGATAAGTCTTTTTTGTTATATGGATAATGATATTATTTATTTTCTCGCTTATAGTCTTGGAGCTACGGATAAATGTCGGAGACTTGAAAGCTCGACTCAGACTTCATAAACAATCCCCGAACTAGTATCTTGTAACACTTCGGCTTCGAACTTATTTCCTTCACGAAAAAGGTCTCAAACCGATATTTCTTTTCCTCGAAATAAACGGAGTGTAGGCAATTATTCATTTTTCTTTTGTTTTGACCTACAAACTAAAGAAAAAAAAAAATTTCCCACCGCCCGCAGCGGCTGCGTTGGCTTGCGCTCTCATCCCCCACGAAGGGATCAGAGTTCGAACCCCAGCGTAGTCGTTAGAGATTTTTAAGTGTGGCGCAAAACCCCAAAATTATACTAACTGTAACCCAAATATCCTGATTTTTTTTTGTTTTCACTAAAAAACCCTGAATTTGTCGATGAGAATATAAATACCTCAATTATTTTGTCACGAGTCCCGAAATTATACCGGTATGGCAAATATATCTTAGATGAAACTGATGCTTCGCACATGTATAAGTTTGAGTTTCTTCGCGACACTAAAAAAAAATAAGCTTGGAGATTCTTGTCACAGCGAAATAAAATTGAGGGGATATTTGGATCGCAGCGGACATAAATTGAAATTTTATTCGGCATTTGTCCCAAGAAGAAAAAAAAGAAAAAAGAGGAGCTTGCTTCACATCACGTGAGGTCCCGGTACGGCGCCGTTTGGGGGCCGCGCGGAACCGAAGCAGCAGGGGGGGACTTGTCCGGTTCACGTGACTCTCCCGCGTCCCCTTAAACGCCGTCAAAAAGCGAATTCCTACTACCAATTTGACCCGTGCAGTGACTGATGGCAGCAGAAGAGCCGGTTGCCGGTTGGTTGGTTGGTCAGGACCCCCAACCCCACCACCCCCACTCCCCCACGCGCCCGGACCCCACGCGCCACTCTATGTCGCGTCCCCTCCCCTCCCCACCCCCGCACCGCCTTTTCACGTCCGTCCCTTTCGCTCATCTGCTTTCCTTTCCCTCTCTTTTCACCTCTTCACTTCGCCCCCACTCGGTCACTCGCTCGCTCAGTCGCTCGCTCGCTCCCTCGCTTTTCCTCCTCCGCCGCCGATCGGAGCGCATTAGGGCGAAGTTCGGCCCGCGATCTCGCCCACGCCACCTCGCGCGGCGGCGATTCGCGCGTCGTTTTCCTTCCCGCCCCCCCTCTCCCTTCTCCTTTTCCGGCCGCTGTTCCGCGAGGTGATTGTTTGGAGCGGTTGGTAGGCCCGCTTGGTCGGAGCGCTTTTCGCTGTCTCTTCGCCCCCATCATTGCGAGGCCTCCTCCTCCCCCTCCTTTTTCTTCTTCGGCGTACGGCGAGGTGAGTCTCTAATTCCGCTTGTCGCGGCCGTCGCCGTCGCCGTTACCGGTGCTCGGAGTGATTTCGCGCCTCGTCTTTGGTTCGATCGATTCGTTCTGGCGTTTGGGGGGTTCCCCTTCGTCCTTTTGGGTAAGGAGTCGTCCGCTCCTGGGGGGGGGGGGGGGGAGGGTCGTGTCGCGCTCTCCCGCGGGTGCTTCCGTTTGCTCGTATTTCTTCGGGCACGTGGTGAGATTAGCTGGTGGGGAGGGGCGTGGGTGATGATTTTGGGACCGGGCTGCGGACGTACATGCAATGGCGTTTCGCGGGTTTAGTTGCTCGTGCTGTGCGGCGTGCGAAATTGCACGTCTTTTTTCCTTGCTTCTTCAGCGGGTGTCTGGTGGGTGTTATTTGGTGTTTTGATGGTACTTAGCCGACTAGAAGAAAAGAAGTTGAACAGCCTGGTGATAATATTCGTAGTGAATCAATGGAATTGCTCGGAAATGGTATGCCGGAGTTAGTGGCTAGCGATTATAGGAATATTCTTTTACAGGAATATTTATAGGAATATCGGTCGGGCGGTCGTGCAAAATCCGGTGTGAGTTTATCTAAGCAATTGCTACTTGCTTATATTTAGGGCTTTTATGCAGAAATTGCTGGTAAGTATCTGAGTGGTTTCCCTTGCCGGATTTTTCATCTGTTGTTCTTTCTACGAGAAGTGTGAAATGAAATAACGCGTGTGAGCTTCGACCATTGTAATCTATTATAGATTGGCAATGGAAGACTTGGTCTTTGTGATTTTGTCTGTTGAGTGCATAGTCCAAGTGAAGTTGTCTGTATGTACAGTTCCCTTAACCCGGGAAGTTCTTCGAAGGGATAACTTTACCACTTCCTTTAGTTATTTTGCGAGTCTGAACATTCTGAGCTTGTCATGGGATGTTAAATTTTCTTTGATGGCAGATGATGCGCTGGACATTGTAATATCGGGATCATGTTGCATGCAGCAGCGAAGCAAACCTCTTTTGCTATGGACGAGCATGAGAACATTTTCGCTTCTGGCTTTGCCGGGGTAATGATTTCCAGACCATTTAGTCAAAGATTTTCTGTTCTGTTTTCCCTCACGGACCTTAATTCCCGGATTAGATAATCGCATCTCTACTTCAACTCAGTGTTTGGACAACTGTAGTTGACTTAATATTCCCATGACTGTCCCTCTTGTTTGCCTGAAGGTTGATAAGCATGTATCCTTCCTCACTGCCTTTGAAGATGAAGATATGGGAGCAGAGCATTCCTTTTTGGGTCCTGAATGTGGCAGGGACATAACCAGTACCCATCTTGGTTTGGGCACATTCGACTTACCAAAGTGCTTCAGTATTGATAATATTTCATGTGCTTTTGATGATGATGAGATGACAGTTGACAATGGTATGGATCTTACAGGCTATTTTTTCTTATAAAGGAAATGCAAGTGTGAATTTAGTATCTTTAGTCTCTTTAGCAGGTGAATAATTTTGGTAGAGGCTGTAAACAATAATGTCAAGTCAAGGTTTTTGTTTTCCACTTTTGGCCTTTTTAATATTTTGACTTTAAAATGACAGAATTGAAGTGCTGAATGTTGTTCTTTTAATGGATTTTCGTTATAAAGGAATGATAAAAATATGCACTCCTTCTAGTGGAAATGATTCCTCTTTTTAATGCTCCTACTTGCTTGTAAGTAACTTAGTCAGCATAATGAGCATTGATCTTCTTCTTCTTCTGTCATCACTCAACTAATATAAGTGCATAAGGACTTGATGCTCTAATGTCATTCTTTGTATTGGTAGGTAATACATAAGCTGAAGCTGAATTACCTTACTATTTAAAAACAATTTGTTTATTGGATTGACCTAATTTCTGCAGTTGGAATTTGCAACGTATTAGCTGATTTTCATAAGAAAAATTGATGATCATTGCTTGCTTTAACATTTAAAATGCAAAACATCATCTACGAATGCATGCTCAAATGATTTCGTTTTCACATGCAGTGGCTGCTACAGTTGTTGCTGGTGAGCAGACAAAGACCGGGGTACGTCCTCTTGTGAACTATTTAATTGGTTCAGCAGAATGGCAATTAAGAATTAATAGGTCTTAATATTTTCTTTCTGTCGTGACAATCTCTTGAGAAAGTGTAATCTTCTGTGCTGTCCTTTTGTTGCTAAAATTGCTATTTTCTTTGTTCATTCTTCTGACACTATATCTAGAATTTTTGTATTCTCTTACTTTTAGTGCTTTTGGAGGTTTTACTTCCACTCATGTTCAGCTTCTTGGCAGTTTCCCACATTGTTTGTCTACAGGGTCTTTTTTGGGCCATGTATAGATGTAGCGTCCCTCCATCTAGTAGTTTTGTCTTTTATGTCAGACTTTCTAACAAATTCTATTACGCTTCTTTCTATTTTTCCCTCTCATTCTGATGATCGGCATTGTTTTAAGTATATAAGTAGCTAACATTTGCTCTTATTTTGATTGAATCCGCACCTGGTAAATTTTGTCTGAGCAGCAGCTTGTATTAGATATCTTTTAAAACTTCTTGCGCTTAGTGCTTTTTGAAGTGGATTTCTGTCCCCGACCAAAAAAAAAAAGAGTGGATTTCTGTCAGGAACCCACATAAGAAGCTTTTTTTGTTTGTTGTTACTGAAATGGAAATTCCTTTCGCGTTTAACTTCACTATATGCAGTTTTCTGACATGATTCTGTGTGTTAGCTTTTTGGTGAAATGCTTGAACCCAAAGGCGAGAAGATACTCCACGAGGACAAATGTTGCCAACCTGCCGGCGGACAGCATTTTATGGGTAAATATATTGTGGGTCCTTTAACTCATTTCTGGGAATATATGGATGGAAATTACTACTCACCTACTTTGTCCTTAGATACTGAATACATGGATGACGTGTCAAACATCATTTGTTTTCCATCCGAAGACTCTCATCTGCAAGGAACTCTGGCTTTACAAAGTGAGCTGACAGTTCTCAATGGACGAGCCTGTTCTACCGCTGCAGCAGCAACTGAGTCCACATCATGTCAGAACTCTGTGTCATTAGACCATATGACTGTTCGAGAGCTACAGGATGCCTTCCACAGTATATTTGGACGAGAAACTGTAGTCATTGACAAACAGTGGCTGAAGCATCGTATTTTATTTGGTTTGCACAACAACATTGAGTTGGATAGACCTTTGAATTTTACGTGTTGTGGTAGCATTTCTCATGAAAAGGAAGACAAAAGCACAGTTGCTTCTGGTACTGAGTCCTCTGAAAATGCTCCTAGTTCTCCTAAATGGATGTTGGATGGTGGTTTTAAGATGGAAGAGAAAATCAAAGGGAGTAGTTCCGATTCTCAAACAAATTACTCTTCTGGGGCTAGTGAATCTGATGTTACTTTTCATGGTAAAGAAGAAAATGAAGTGGGTGTACTTGTAACGGGAAAGAGAGTCCACAAGCCGCCACGAAGGTATATTGAAGAATCTTCAGAGTTTAAGTCTAGAAATCACCCTAGAAGGTCCAGCGTATCTGTTAAAAGTCCAAAGAGTAAAGTTGTGGATGCTAAAATTCACAAGCAACGTGAGGAGGAGGTGAATGAAACAGCCAGATCTGGTCAACAGATAGGATCCTTTGATGGAGCCTGTATTCAGGTTCCGTTTGGCCTTCCAGTTGAAGAAGGGCAAGCAAAGGGAAATACATTGTGTTTGGTAAGAAACAGTCTTTTTTTTTTCTCACGCATGTCATACTTAAGCCACATTTTCACGAGCTTGAGAAAACCAGTCTTCTCTTTTCTGGTCTGCGTTGGCTGTTTGGTGCCATTAAGTTGTTGTGTTATTAATTGTTTGATTGAACGTTGCTAAAAAAATGTATTTGGATGTTAGTTGGTGTTCATAATAAGCAAGAAAGAGCCAAGTAGTTGATTGAGTCTTTGTTGAAGGAAGTTAGTTTCTTTCAAAATCGTCTTATTAACTTTTTTTTAATACCAGTCGGAATTCGTTTTTGCAGGCAAATTTTTGCAAAAGCAAACATCATATCTGTCTTAGTTGTATTTCTGCTCCACGTTATGAGCAAATGAAAGATTACTTGTGCTGTCATGTTTTCCTCCAGAATTGTAGCGCTTTCCTTTTTCGATTAGGTAATAGCTGCTCGTTTGCTGGCCTTTCTCGTGAACTCCCCCAATATTTCTCAGCTACCCGTTTCTTTTTGCAAAAAGTTGTTGGTTTCAGCATGTTTCTGATAACTTCCAAAAATGAGATGACCTTAATTATTTTTCTTGTTATGGTTGATTAAATTACTTGTCTGTTCATATCTTAGTATGATTAGGTATGACGCTGATTTCTGGTTTCAGTGAATTACAGGCTTTCTGCAGTTTTTGACTTGTCTTCTCCTGGTTTTGGCTTATGGATTCGTTTTGTATCCTTATTGAGTTCTGAAGAGAAATGACTCCCCTGTTTCTTTTAGCGCCAGGACTCTGACATATGCCCAAAAACTGAAGATGCCAGTCCGAGTGAGAGATCTGATCTGCTGTGTCCATCAGGTAAGTCGCAAACTGTTATGAAAGAGGATCGTGTCATTAGGAGCAATATGCAAAAGGGCAGGAGACGGAGAAAGCATCATATGCCATGGACTCTTTCCGAGGTGATGAAATTGATAGAAGGAGTTTCTCATTTGGGAGTTGGAAGGTGGTCTAAGATAAAGCGGCTGCTATTCTCAGCATCTAAGCATCGCACATCGGTAGACCTAAAGGTGCATGTTACTGTTATGGTCAGAACTTAAGCACCCTTATATTGAGCAGAATGAAACTCATTAGAATTAGATATGATTGACAGAATTTACTTGGGGTAGACTATTGGTTCTTTTAATTCACATCTGATGCTAAGATTGAGAGTGGGTATGGGCTTTCAGGATAAATGGCGAAATCTGGTGAAGGCTAGCTGCACTCAGTTGCGGAAAAAGAGGAAGGTCTGGATTTGACGTCTTGTTTAGTTTTTGAGAACCAAATTTCACCCTCTCTTACTGGCATTAATCGCATAGTACTTACCAAGTTCTGTTTGGTGCAGGGCTTGCAAGTAAGAAAGCAACTATCGCATCAAGCACCAGAATCTGTTTTATGCCGTGTTAAAGAACTGGCCAGTTCCTGCATATGACCATGAGAACACATGTCCAGGGTCCCAAGAACTTCGTCTTCCATTAAACTCACAGGAAGCTGCACTACCCTTATGGTCTCGGAGGGTATTAAACAGTAACATCAGTAAAAATGCAATCCGTATGCGAGGTTTGATAGTGGGTGAGAATCTAGGAACAGGTCTCTCGTGTCTATGCTCTTGTACAACGTATTTAACACTCCTGCTGTGCTGCTGACTCGTCAAGCTGCATATTATACTGATTATCATTGAGAATGATATTGTTAGAGATGGGTCTCCATTACATGATCATCCTTGTGCTTCTAATTTTCTAGTTTCATTTTCTGGTATGCGTTGGGAAAACATTACTGGAAAATGATGGGGTGACTCCCGGTGCTGCGCGACGCGAGTGCCCTCACATGTGGGCGAAACACAAGCGCTTCACCTGACCGGGAATTTGAACCTCGTTGGCTACTGAGATTGTGATTATGACTAACAATCTCACCACTCTGATTGGAACTACCTGCAAATTCATGTTTTGTAAGATTGCAGGTTGAAAGGGCATTCAGCTTGCTAGGTTGAAGAAATGGAGGGGGAAGAACACAGCGAAGCGCACTCAGTCACTTTGGAGTTTAAACTATTCACAACTTATTATAGTGCCGAAGGAAAACTCACGATTAGAAGCTTTCTATATCTCTACTTTAATAGATGTGCTAACTATAGGATAGATTAATCTGTTTGGATAGGAGCAGACGGTCGGGCGGGGATTTCTAGTTCAGGAATTGAAGATCACTTGTTTAAATCTAAACAACGGTGTGTAAACTGTTCAGGTTAGGGTTATTTGTAAAGGCCGAAGTTTTGGATTCAATCAATTCATGGGGTTTGTAGAGCATTCAATTTTGTGCCAATGTCCCTGAATTATAAAAAGCAAAGGGTAGATTACCTTACTCACAAGAGAACACAATTTTATGAAGTGTTTCTAACCTAAAATATTCAATTTAGTAGAAATATTAGTCGAAATTCAATATAGTAAGTAATATTATTGAAAGGATTTTTTAACCGAGTGTGTAAGAATACTTGTTAAACATCCAAATAAAGATAATTTAATTGTTTTCCTGTGTTATGTAACATCAATGATTGCAAATGTTACATTTTCTTTATTAGGTAGGGTTAATAAATATTCGGGAAACTCGTTGACAAGATGTTTATTGAAGCGAAGAAAGGAGACGTGATTTGCTAAGTTTCAGTTAGCATTTCTATTTTGTTGGCCCATTTCAAAAATAATAATAATAATAGTGATGATGACGGTTTCATTTTGGTAACTTTGCTTCACAGAGACGGTGAACGATCGATGTTTGACCAAAATTTTCTTTTCGTTTTTGCCTTCTTCCGATTGTTTGCTTCTCCAAAACAAATCAATATATTTAAGTAGGGAAAATTATCAAAAAAAGTCTTAAACCTATTGCACTTTTTTCAATTCGGTCCTAAACCTTTTCACTTCTTGCCAATTGAGTCTATTTGGCCGGCCGGCGCTGATGTGGCCGCCGGCTGTCCGATCAACGCTAACGTGGCAATTTTTAATATTTTTTTCCTTTTTTTTCTGCCTTTCCCTTCTGGCCAGTTCGGCGACCAGAGGCCGAACAGAGGCGTGGGCCGGCGAGGTCGACCTCACCGGCCTTTGGCGAAGCTCGCCCCCGCTGGCCACTGGCGAGGGCGAGCCTCACCCGTTGCTGCGAGGCCGGCCTCACCATGGCTGGGCGAGTGAAACTCAGCGACGGCGAGGTCGGCCTCGCCATGGCTGGTCAAGGCCGACCTCGCCATCGCGAAACCCAGCGACGGCGAGGCCGGCCTCGCCAAGCCTCGTCCAGCCATGGCGAGGCTCGCCCTTGCTAGTGGCCGGCGAGGGCGAGCTTAACCAGAGGCTGGTGAGGTCGACCTCGCCGGCCCGCGCCTCTGGCCGGTCGTCGGACCGGCCAAAGGGAAAAGGCAGAAAAAAAAAGAAAAAAAAATTAAAAAATTCGAAAAAATATTTAAAAATTGCCACGTCAGTGTTGGCCGGTGGCCACGTCAGCGCCGGTCGGCCAAATGGACTCAATTGGCAAGAAGTGAAAAGGTTTAGGATTGAATTGACAAACTTAAAAGGTTTAGGACTGAATTGACAAAAGTGCAATAGGTTTATGATTTTTTTGTCAATTTTTCCTATTTAAGTAGGTAAGGCTCATGTGAATTTAGGTTAAGTGTCACAGGTCGATACTTGATATCGCGACCATGCGGCATTTAGGCTTTTTTTTTTTTTCACTCGTTCACTCTTAGAGTCGCCTAAGCTCAATCGTTCCCTCATCAATCATTTACTCGCTCACCGTGAGTCGTAAAGAGAAACTCATAAGAAATGAGTGTTATGGGATAGAATACCCTATTGCTCTTCTTGTTATGTTGGATAAGTGTTGTTACAAAAGAGAGAGAGGGCGACTTCTACATACATGAATCTGGGAAAAATTGTCTCAAAAGTCATAAACCCAATTCGATTATAAATATTTCATTTATGCCAATTTAGTCCCAATCATTTTGACGATTTCTCTATATATCATTTCGGCCAATCATCTAAATAATAGGTTTATGATTAAATTGGCAAAACTTTAAAATGTTTATGACGAAATTGACACAACTGAAAGTTTTAGGACTGAATTGGCACAATTGAAATATTTATGATTGAATTGGTCGCCGTACAATAGATTTAGAACTTTTTGGACAAATAATCCTCATGAAACCTCCAAATTACAATTGTAAATCTCTTCTCAAATTAATGGTGGAGATCTTACAATCCTAGATTTCTCCTTGATCTAACGATGGACATCCTATCTCCTTATCTATCACCAACCATAGGGAATTGTGGGGACAATTACAAAAAAAGTCGTAACCTATTACACTTGTGGCAATTCAGTTATAAACATTTTAATTGTACTAATTTAGTCATAAATCTTTCAAATTTTGCCAATTGAGTCCATTCGGCCAAATTTAGCTCGAAATTGTTGACATGGATGCCAGCCGTCCTACGTGGCACGGCCGGCGCCGACGTAGCCATTGTTTTTAATAATATTTAATAATTTTTTTGGTATTTTTTTCTTTTCTTTTCTTTTCTTTACTTTTATTTTTGGACTAGGGGCCGGCAAGAGTTGTTGGTTGACCTTCGCTAGCACTAGGCAAGGGCATTGCGCCCCTCGCTGGCCTTGGGCGAGGGCCGCCATGCCCTTGTTGTCCACTCGGCGAGGGCCGCGACGCCCTCACTAGATCTAGGCCAGGCAAGGTCATAACGCCCATATTTGGTGAGGGTGTTGCAGACCTCGCCTATGGCCAGTGAGGGTTGGCCAGTGATCCTTGCTGACCCTCGATCCAAAAAAAGAAAGTAAAGAAAAGAAAAAACTATAAATAAATTTAAAATGTTATTTAAAAATGTCCAAACTAGCATTGTCCGTGCCATGTAGAACGATCAAAGTCTATATCGGCGATTTTCGGTCAAAATTGGCTGGATAGACTCAATTGACAAAACATGAAAATGTTATGACTGAATTGACACAATTAAAAAGTTTATGATTGAATTAGGCAATAAATTTATGACTTCCTTGGTAATTTCCCCGAGAATTGTGTTACACGTTTGTGCGTATATAAGTATATAATGACTTTTATGTTTAAAAGCTTACATCCGGTAAAAGAAAATCATATATTTGGTCTCATATTCAACACTTTACATTGGATAAGAACCAAGTTGAATAACTTATGGATACCCATTTGACAAAACATTTTGCTCTATTTAACAGATAAATGATATTAAATTACCGAAAAAATATTACATAATATGATATCCCGTATTTTACAAACAAATTATTTAAGATGATTTAAATGAAATGATAACATATACTTTACGTACAAATGGAATAAATTGCCCATTAACGCAAACAGTTTATTGAAGAAAAAATCGAAAATGGCTCTATAACATGATAGAATATATTTCATGATTATATGACGGTAGAGGATAATTAAAAAAGTTATATGATATCTTCTAATTGTGAAACAGTTGAATAAGATAAAGATAAACAATATAACGATTTTTTGTTTTACAAATGAACAGTGCTAGACGATCATAGAAAAATTCTAAATAACATGATAGAACATATTTGAAGAATAAATGATATCGGATGATTATTAAAAACTACATGTCAATTTAACAGATCAAGACAAAAAATTACGTGTCAAGTTTACGTATCCATTAACGAATAAATGATATTAAATGGCAATATGTTCGGACCCTTTGAAGGAATAGTAAGGCAATTTCCGATCAACATTCAGTGTCTTTAATAGAATTCATCGACACACTATAATTCCTTTCAACAGCGTCATGCTGATTTTGATTATATTTTCAATTTCTTTTGTTTAACTATAGAAGCATCAACTTCAAAGTATAATTTGCATCAAACTTTACGACATATCTTATAGAAATTCTATTGTAACTTCTAACCAACATATTTCATGCTCCTATTAATTTAATATCAATTTAATTCTCATAGAGACATTAGCATATTGGGCCGTCAATTTTTCACTACTGTAAAATGAATGTCTATATAACATATTAAATATAGTAAAATAAAAAAAATATTAACCAATATTCATGATACAACCAAATTAAAGGTAACAAAGTTAATATAATTAACTTGAAGTATCAATAAATGCAAAATATACTAACAAATAACTGTTGGCAATGAAATTTTCACAAGAAAATGAAGTAATATATGAATCTTCTTATTCTGGCATTAAATCACGGGAATTCTAGATATGCATTCTTGGGGAAAAATATTACGAACTCCTATGGAAATATAAATTGAATATTGCGTATTTTCATAAGATATCTAACCTGTCATCGTTCCTTTTTGTGATACACTATCATGGATGATGATATGCCATTAACTCTTGCCAAAATAAAAGATAGACATTAAATGGTTACAAAAATGAAGAATTCCGTAACAAGGAAATTGAAATATATGGAATTGGAAGATGATGTTGAAGAAATCACCTTTAACTATCTTCAAAATAGAGAGGAGCAAAGAAAAGAAACTATTTTACTCTCGAGAAAATTTTATGCAAATAACTTGCTCGCCTTTTCTTCTAAAAAAAGTCGATAGCATAAAGGTGAAGATTTCCACAAAATGGAGGAAAGGTATCGAGAGAGAAGATTGTTGCTATAATTTTTTCATATTATTATATTTCTCTTGCGAAAATTTACACAGCCACTAACATATAGTACAATGTAAACAAATATAGTCATAGATCCGTGCAAAGCATGGGAATCTTGCTAGTGAAAAGATATGGCAAGGTTGTGAAAGGAAAATAAATATTAACGGCGACAAATATTATCAGTAAATACATTGTGCATGTATAGTTCACATAAATAAACAATGTGTTGCTTATAGTTGCAAACCACAGTCTCTGTTGCTCTTATTTCATGCATCAAAACCAAGGATGCTTACAACTGCACCAGAATTTAGTAACTGCGAACTCTCTTCTATTTCACATAACTTGTAAAAGCTGACACCCTTTTTACCAACATAACAAATGATGCAGCATACACTCCCAAGCGTACATAGCTCATACAATGCGCACACACTCTACTGGCACTACAGCTTTATCATACCAGCGGGGTCTTAGACCAGAACTTAGGGTAGATTTTGGCCTCCACGAGGATTTCCTGTACTATCGCCACTTCCCGTGGGTGGGGTGTACTTATTTCTAGGAATGACATGGTGCGGGATGTCTTCTGAGGTTGTGTCCTCGAACCCGTCATCGTTCTTTTCCATTTCCAGATACCGTATCCGCTTCTCGTGGTTGGTAACCATGAAATGAGCCCTTTTGTTCATGGCCAAGCAAGTGCTCAGCATCATGGACAGGACCAACACAAGCATCACTCCCCTCATTCTTCAAGCCTTTTTTCACTGGACATAAAAGAGACATATCAAAAGCCGACAAAAAGTATCAATGACCCAGAAAAGAACAGGTTCTGTTCTTTACTACCAATTTGTCTTAAAAGGGAATGCATTACTCACCAGAACACAACACCTGAAGAGCTTGACTTGATGGCGGAATGAAGTGAGAAGTTTGGTTAATCAATTTATAGAGGGAAGTTTGTTGGCCTCTTATGTTATTGATACAGTAATTTTTTTGCTGTTCTTTTCCATGATGGGTAATCCACCAATGAGGCAAGATCAAGTGGATGGCCACATTATGTGCTTGAAGAATTATCTAGAGTGGGTAAAATGATGGGGCTCAGAGAAATTTCTTTGGCCTCCCTTGCACTACAAATAGGGAAACTCCACTTTTGCAGTGGATTTTCATAGCCACAGCAGAGGTTGGGGTAAGTCACACGTATTGGAGGTGCCTATTTTGTTGCCAAATGATGTCAAGGCACCAAAGTTGTCTCTGAGAATGGAATCAAGCATCTTTGTGCGTTTTGGCTTCAGTCTAATCCATCCACTGGCCAAAATCATAATTCACACCTGGAAACAGTAGCCCTTGACTCATGAATGCCCATCTCAGGGTCGTCGACCAATTCCGTTAGCAATTGAGTTGTGATGCCTATCTAAATGACAAGCACAATAGAACGAGGAGGAAGAATAAGAAAAGACAGATCTATGAGCTGGAAAAATTTGTATAGGTGAACATGTCGTGGTTGATTTTGGCGTCAAGATCTAACCAGCAAGTTGCTCGGATCATATCTTTATACGAGACTGCTGATTATGAAGGTATTCTGTCCGTGACGGGGCTTATCCCTATAAGCATCATAATATCTAAAAATGAACTAAGAGCAGCACTGTGTTTGCCTCCATTTCTATGCTTGCTTGTTATCAGTTTCTTTGACAAAGTCTAGGCATGATAGATAATCTGAAGGACCGAAAAAATGTCAGCCAAACCGCAAAACGATTTCATTAAGGATGACTATGGTAGAGACATTTATTCCAGTTACAAATTTGAGAGTTAGAATAATAGATCTACGATTATGTTCTATGAGTTGGATGTATATATGAGAGACTTCATTCATAGAAACCAGACAGAACGACCTTCAATTGGATACAGTGCATCTACCATGAGAATCAGAGAAAATACTACAATATAGCATATATTTTACACCAGATCACAATGAGTCAGCACATTATAATTTCAGAATATCACAACAGACATTTATGGCCGAAGATATAGTACTACATGGAAGGTCAGTCATACGAGGTTGATCTAGGCCGGTCATTTCGGTATGCATGCGAATGTTCAGCAACACAGACCCAGGAGGAGAAACTACCACAACAAAAGACTGTAAAGCGCAGACATCTACAGGAAGTCTCATAAAATTAAGTGGTCCAAGTGTCATGTTCGCCGAATATGTCCTGACTGAAGTCTCAAATGCTTGATTTATTTGTCAACCATTCTATATGGAAAAGAACAAAATTTAGAATACAGTCGGTTAAACTTTAGGATAAGTAAGGAAGGAGATAAAAAATATGGCCAAAGCCGAGGGCGGAGACGAAAGATAGAATGATAATTCTTGAAACATCATGGTGACATGACCCGTTGCTGTCCCACAGTGTAATTTGTTTGTTTTTGTATTTGGTTATATACATTTGACAAGAAGATGGACCTGGTAGTAGGCCTCTCAAATGAGTGGATTGGGTCGAAATTGGTCCGACTCCAAATGACCCGTTTTGACCAATTTTAATGCAATACAAATTGAGCGACCCGATCTGACCCATACCCAACCCTTACCGACTCGACCCGACCCGGACTCTACTCCTTAGTTTTTCTCCCTTAAATATGGATAAATAGCATGCTAAAAAAAATTGATTAAAAAAAAATTAAACATGAATAAAAATTAACGATTAAGAAATTAATTAAAAAAAAGTTGACTTTTAAGTTACTCAAACACACGTCCTGGTGTTAGAAATTTGATCTAATTTGTCTTTAAAAATGTTTTTCTTTTACTTATTTTATAAAATTAAAAAAAAATCCTTTACTGCACATATAATTCTGACAAAAAAAAACTAAAAAGGAATGTTTTCGTTTAACATTTAAGAAAGCACACCTAAACTTTATAAAACATAACAAATTAAAATACAAAAAAAAGTCAAAAAAAGGAATCGTCCTCTTGTTATAGATTTGTTATTGAAAACCTGTAACATCTCTTGTAGCCACCGACAAGCCGTCGTCGCCGGCATATTGTCTCCTAGGCTGAGCCAAGCCATCATTGTGTCCGACTCGTCGCCAAACCACCACCTACGTTTCTCGAATTGGTCTGTATGCGTCCGAGTGTGCCCACACGAGTTTGGTGCGTGTGTATCGTGCAACAAGTTCACGAGCTCAAGCTCTCGATATCGCGTTTAAGCACTAACTTACGGTGAGGTCGCCAACTCGAACTAAGAACGAAATCTCAACCACACCTCTCGGTAATTCTTTTATTAAAAAAAACCCATATCAAATGCTCCGAGAAAAGCCAGAAAGAGCTCCTATAATATTGATTCATTTTATACATTAGTAACTTTATAATAAGCAGCATAATACTTTTTTAAAGCCCGGGGCATATAAACCGGCAACAAGTGGGTCTAACCCATTTATGACCTAGCCCATTGGATTCGAGTTAAAAGTTGGGTATTCGCTCCATTTTGCTACCTCTACTTGGCGGTAACAGGTTTATAGTACAAACTAGAGACGAATAAGCGCGTCGGAACATTTGCATGAACACAAACAAGATCCAAGGATGCATTTTAGGAGGGGACTAGGATCAGAGGTCACCCCTAAATTATGCATTTTCTAATATCTCTACTTGTATAAGCAGTTGTTCCTAGTCTGTCCTGTCCTAGTCTTGCTGAGGATATGAACTCTGGTTTCCATAATGTTTGTGTCTAATTCTCTGAGAAATTGTGCAGTAGGGTAAGTTACCCTTCGGAGGTAGATCGGAGAAGCAAGTGCTTAATGCTTCTCAATTACCTTCTCAAGTTCAATGAGAAGCGGCATATCCTTTGATTTACTTGGTCTAGGCATAGATAAAATCTGGTTTTCAAAGCAAACACCACTCACAGAATAATTTAGGAGATGTTCTTGTATAGTAAATCATAAAAGCTTACTGCATATGTCTGATGCTTATCTAAGGAAGTTGAAAAGTGCATATGGAATGAATGAAGGGAAAAGAACAACACTCGACAGGCTTACAGGCTTTTATTATACAGAAAAAGGCGAAATCCCCAATTTTTTTTTTCCCGGCGGCATTTCGTTTGACTTACAAAGTACTACACAAGGAACAGATTGCAATCCTCTTCCTAGACAGCACTCTTCTAGCAAATAGGAAGGGGGGTACCATCCCATTCTTTGAGGCATTCGAGCAAAGGATCGATCAACTTACCCTCGCACATTGCTGTGAACACCTCATCGATATCCTCTCCAGGTGACCGGACCTTCTCTCCGGTTAGGAGCTCAGTTCCCAAATCTGATCGCACAAACTTGTACAACGGGTATGACCTGCATTCGCTGATCCTGTTCGGGATGGCTGCATTTCCACTCTCGTAGGCACTCCGGCAATTCTCTACCTCTTTAGGCAAATGGGCCTTCAGCTCCTCCTCGAAGGTACTTATCTTAAGGAAGATGGAAGAGTTCGCTTTCACCTCATCACCATTGGCTAGCGCGTGATCGACAAGCACTTGCCTAAGATTCTGCATCAATGGGTAAGTGGCACTGCAAGGATCATCAATGTATGCGTATACATGCTCGCGGTCGACCACTTTGAGCAGATCTTTCTCGCAGAATCTTGATGGATGGAGCTCCCCATTGGGTCCCATGGTCAACACCCTCTTGGCGACCTGGCTTACTGTGTTCTTCACTGCGCTCTTCAAGTTCTCTTCCAAATGCCTCAGGTCTATTGCTTGGCACAGCGCGACTAGAAAGGCAGACGACATGAGCTGCAGAATTTCGACTGCTTCCGCTGTTTTTCTAGCAGAGATTAATCCCAATGAGTTCACATCCTGGTTGTGTTGCTCAGCACTTTGTACGTGATTGGTCACTGGATTGGCCAGGAATTGAAGCTCAGAGCAATAAGCTGCCATTGTTATCTCTGCGCCTTTGAAACCATAATCCAAGCTAGGGTTTCGACCGCCGGAGAGATTAGAAGGCAACCCATTGTTATAGAAGTCATTGACAAGCTCGGAGAATTGTGCAAACATGAGCTTTCCAATAGAAGCTATAGCCAACCGGGTATTGTCCATTGAGACACCAATAGGGGTGCCCTGGAAATTACCGCCATGTAAGGCCTTGTTCCTCGACACATCGATCAAAGGGTTGTCATTAACTGAATTGATCTCTCGCTCAATTGACTTGGTGGATGCACGGATCACTTCCACCTGAGGTCCTAACCACTGAGGCGAAGTCCTCAGCGCATACCGATCTTGCTTCGGCTTCTGAAGTGGGTCCATCTCGTGCAACTTCTTGGCCGCCTTGACATAAGAACTACCATCCAAAATGTGCTCCATTATAGCTGCAGCTTCTATTTGGCCAGGATGATGCTTCAGTTTGTGCGTCAAATGGTCAGTGAACTCTGGCTTTCCTTGCATGACTTCAGCAAATATTGCAGACACAACTTCTGAGAGGACAGTGAGTATATTAGCTTCAAAGAGCACTATGGAAGCTAAGGCAGAACCGACTCCTGTGCCATTCACAAGGGCAAGGCCTTCCTTCGGCTGCAAGTCGAAGAATCCACCACTGATCCCAGCGAGGTCAAAGGCTTGTTTGGCGGTGAGGGTCTCCCCAGCGGGTCCGATCGCTTTGGAATTGGGCCGTCCGGTCAAAAGACCCGCAATGTAGGAAAAGGGTACCAAGTCACCAGAGGCGGAGATCGAGCCGCGGAGCGGCAAGCACGGCGTGATACCATGGTTGACGAGCTTGACGATGGCTTCCAGGATTTCAAACCTGATCCCAGAATAGCCTTGGAGGAGAGTGTTGACTCTCACCAGCATCGCGGCTCTCGTGGCCGACGGTGGCAACGTGTGGCAAGATTCGGTACCATTGCCGAACACACCGGCGTTCAAGAATCTGTGAAAGCAACATCAAACTTCAATC